GTGATGCGCAGAGAACTTGCAGTGTTTATGTCACCACAGTAATTTTCGTTGTATTAATAAGAAGAAAAGGTTGAAATTTTGTATTTTATCTTGTTAAAATAATTCGGATAGACGTTTTGTTGCTATGGATGGCATCGCATTTCGTTTGATCTGGTTGGTCTTTATTAATTAACAAAATCTTCGATGTTTCATTAGAATTATTTTGAATTCTTAATTTTTCATTGTGCTAATATAAAGCTGACATAGACCAGTTTTACTTATTGTGCATCGAGCTTGGCACCGACTTCAAACCGACTAGAAGGGACTATTGGTATTATAATGTTACCTGTTACATTGAGGGTACTTATTATAGTTTTTTACTTAGATTTGTAATTATTTTTTAATTTTTAGTGCTCTTTGTCGGTGTTTTTTGAAGTCGGTTCAACTTTTTTTTTAAAAGGGTTTATTTTATGCACAGTTTTACCATGCTGCGGTACCAAGGAGTCGGCTCGACCGGAGTGATACCATACAGCTGACAGAAAATCAGTGTTCAGCAATTCAGTGAGTAAGGTAGCTGGATTCCAATTCCAGAGAGAGAGTGTTATGTTTTTCGATTGAATGCATGTATATTTCTTGCTAGGCTCTGTAGCCTAAATTGCTTGGTGGATTGCGTCGTTGGATACGTCATAATTCTGAGTGACACTGGGAATAATTATGTACTGGTAAATTTTAAAATCTGACTTACATGGTTTGTAAATTGTAGGTATAAATTTTCACGGAGAGGGGAAATTTCTACGAAAACCACTACGCCAGCCATGCAGTCAAACGACTTCTTCTGTTTTATTTCAAGAACGCAATTTTCTCGTGTTACTTTTAGAATTCAAAATTTTGAACCATCCATTTACAACACTTAACAGATCTTTCAGTACCTGCTTCCAGATTCCTGCTCAACACTTCTAATGGAAACCATCATTTGCTCATAGCCGCTAATCTAATTTGTTCCATAGTTTATGTCGCTTGAAACGTTTAACATGAAAGGCGAAGTGCGTATAAATTAGTGCAGCAAATGACTACACACTGTGACGTATTAGGTACATCAAGTTTATGAAAATGTTTACCCACATAAATACATTATTCCACAGAATTGAATTGACCCACTAGTCAATCAGGTGTACGTAATTATAGCGGACAATTTCAACTCTACGGTTATAAAACACTCTGTACAGAGGGTGATTAGTACCAACACTAGGTAATAAGTAAAAATTTAATGTAATACTAACACTTTATGATACTTTGTCTTTCCGAAATAAAAACTTTATTATTATTATTATTTAAAAATAGAAAAAGGTAAACAGTAACAAATTCAGATCGTTTCTGAAATCCGGTGGGTCCTTCGATAAGTAGATTGGACAACACTACTTAACGTCCAAATCTCGCTCCGATATTGGTTTCATACCATTCGTGCAGGTACACCTAGCTACCAAACCGGGACAAATGGCTTATTGATCGGTACACCTTTTTTTTTCCCGTGCGGAAATCCCCTCGGATACCACCTGTCGGTGGCATGTCGGACTCGAACCGACTAAAACCGCACGCCGTCTCGGGTACTAATAGCCGGGGAACCAGGAACCCTAGAAAGGAAGTCCCTGGTGCCCCGACATACCTCGGGTCATCTACAGACCAGTAGACGACCTCCCCCCGTGTGGGAACCCCATGTTCCCTGAGCTCCCTGGAAGCGAGCGCGCTTCGCAACCCCGGCCTGCTTCTGCTAGGGTGACAGATGGCCTCACCTGTCACCCCCAGGCCTGCGCTTATGGAGGACGGAGGTCGTTCTGCGACCTCCGGCGCCTGAGTCGCCTGCGGTACCTAGCCCGTTCCCGGGCCTGGCGGGCCGGGAGAGTCCTAAACCTCTGCCGGTCCCGCTCAGCCGTCTTCTTCGCGAGCATAACTTGCTCGCAGAAGGAGACGGCAGAGTTCCACGCACTCTCGCTCCGCACGATAGCCGCAATCAGGCTATCGAGCGAGAGAACTCCCACTCCGATGGCCGCCACGAGGTCTCGCCTCTGCTCAATCCACGCCGGGCACTCTGCCAGCGTGTGGAAAGCCGTGTCCACGGTCTGGCCATCGCAGTGGTGGCACTCAGGCGTTGGCTCCTTGCGGATCAGACACGGTGATCCCCGAAAATCCTTTCCCAGTTATCACCTGCGTCGGTCGGTATGAGAGGGTCCCGTGACGCCTCTCGAGCCAATCCTCCATAACGGGTCTTACCGCCGCGATGACGGCGTGCCCGAACGAGGTATACCCTAGAAAGGAAGTCAACTAAACATAACGTTTCAAATTCGGTTATATTCCGGTGTACCAGGACGTGAGACAGCCCTTTCATAGATAGAATAGAATAGAATGGAATACCAGTTTATTGATTTCAGCATTACAGCACTCTTTTAGAAATATACAGAAAAACTATAATACCGAAAGCAAAAGGTCTAAGCGTCAGCTTATGCTTGGACTTCACATGGATTACCAAGCGCTGGTTTCAGTTTAAACCGAAATACAACTTAAATTTATGTCCGTTAAATCTCGTAGAAACTTCCACAGGTCACATGACCGAAGAAAACGCTAAAAACAGTACCTATTTACTTTTCCTCAGCTACTTTCGACTGGCCCGAATATATTTTTTGAATTATTCTTAGTTATTCATGCTATTTAACAACAAACGCACTGTTGAACCCTTTAGATGGAAATGCAAATAAACCAAAATGGGTCAAGTAAAGAACCACATGAAGTAGACAAGGCTTTTATTTTTATTATTGCCTATTTCGCCAACTAGATTTGTTTGGTAACTGTTCTACATTTTATGGCGGTACTGCCTAATATTGACGTCAATTGAGTCTGTCTGAGTTGTCAAGTGATGGAAACTATGGCTTAGTATATATTAGGTCCTTACATATGACATTGGCGTTTTGTACGGGTGGAATTTAAAGTCATTTTTTCTGTTTAATAAAGTATATTTAATTAATCAAAGTATGCACCGTTGTTATCTATGCACTTTTGCCATCTCATAGGTAGTTCATTGATCCCTTTACTAAAAAAATCATGGGGGCGAGAATCAATAAACCCTTTGAAGGCGGTTTGGACCGCCGCATGGGAGTTAATTTTTTTTCCTTGTAAGAATTTGTCCAAATTCCGGAAAAAAAATGCTAATCTGTTGGAGCAAGGTCCGAGGAGTACGGTGGATGTCGCAGACATTCCAATTGTAGCTCATCTAACTTAGTGGTTGTTTGTTGTGCAGTGTGTGGTCTTGCGTTGTCGTGAAGCAGCAGTGGCCCTAGAGCGATTGACCAATCTCGGTTGTTTAGCAGCTAGTTCTTCCTGCATGGTTTGCAGTTGCTGACAATAGATATCTGCCGTAATCGTTTAGCCAGATTTTAGAAAGCTGTAGTGAACGACACCGGCGCTAGTCCACCAAACACTAACAAGTAACTTTTCTGAGTCAATTTTCGTTTAGGGCAGGATTTAGATGGGTCTCCAGGGTTCAGCCATTGCGATGAGCGCTTCCGATTATCGTACAGTATCCACTTTTCATCACAAGTAGTGATTCGATTTAAAATCCCTTCATTATTGTGTCGGTTGAGCAAAAGTAACACAGCAGTCGACGGGTGTTTGCAAGTTCGATTCACTCAATTCATGAGGTACCCATCGTTCAAGTTTTTTTTAATTTAGCTGTCTATGAAGTGCTTTGTGATGGATCCGCTTCCACAATAGCCTTTAACTCTTCATTTTCCACTTTGGTCTCCGGCCGTCCAAGGGGTTGGTTCTGAAGGTCGAAATTTCCAGAACGAAAACGTTCAAACCAAAAACGTACCGTGCTTTCTTTTGCTACACCAGCGCCGTACATATCATTAATCCTTCGAGCTGTTTCTGCAGCACTGGTGCCACGGTAGAACTCGTACTCGTAAATATACCGATATTTCATGTTTTCCATTGTGTGGTAATAAGCGACGCCAAAGAAAAAAATTAATGAGGAAAAAAGAAATGAAAGACTGTTTTCAAAACTTAAAAGTACCAGCTAAATGAATTTATAGATTTGAATTTGGAATTCTTAACCAAAGAGGAGATATTTCAGATCAAAGTGGTCAGTACGACAAAACGCTAATTTCATGTGTAAGGACCTAATATTTATATTGATTTAGCAATACATACCTAAAAAATGACGAACATAATAATTAATTATTTTTCTGTACTCTGTGATCAACATCACTATTTCTGAACGAATGAAGTCAATGCCCTGTCAAGGTAGGCTGGACATTCTCTATAATCTTAAACATGTGACTTCTTCCACAACAGTTTAATTTAAACATTTTAAAATTATCAAAACTTGTTTATACTAAATGCTATAATTAAAATTTATATATATACTTGAATTTTATAATACAAACTACAACTACTTGTATTTTCATTAATTTCCTGAGAGGAAAAATTAAACATGGTTGGTCTAATGTTACCCTTCTCAACAAGTTAATATCAGTCAAAGTCTCGAGCATTGCAGTTGATTTGATTGCATGTCGAAATCAGTTAATCATAATAGTTATCTGTGTTAAACAGTAAACTCGCAAACTCAAAAGTTGAAATAAACAAACTGTGATGAGCTGGGCGTTGCCGTACGCTCTGATACTGATAACTCACTGATTACAAACAGATAAGCCCTCGTGTACCCTTGCGACATTGTACTAAATCAAAATTAGGCCTTACAGATAAAGAATTGATTAAAAGTAGTAGTATTCTGTTATGAATACTTTATCACCCATTGTTCTATCAATGTTTTGATGCATATTCTAATATTCTCTCTAAATAATAGATAATTAACATCATTCACGGTGAATGAGCCTGAATTCAAATGTATTTTAATTCATAAAATTGCTCCTGTTTCAATAACATTGCAAAGAATACTACAAAGTGTAATATGGTGACTCAACCGGAAACTCATCTTTTAATAACTTTTTAGGTTTACAAGTGATGTGAAAATGTTTAAAAAATATTTATTGACAGTGTTTTTGTGTACTAGTGTTATTTGTCAGTCAAATAAAGATTTATACAATGGACAAATTCAAAATGAATTTTACAACTCTAGAGAAGATATATCTCGTTCTACAAGTCGGCCTAGTCCAGGCGATAGTGATTACAGGACTTATGTGTTCAATAACAGAAGATATGGAACAGACCCTACAAGATACAATCCTTATAACCCAAATATAAATCAGCCTGGTGGGTTTCCTTACAACCCTATAAATCCAAACCCCTTGGATGATCAATTCAAGTTTAATATGGTATGTATTTATTTATTTAACTTTAAATGCATATTTATTTTTACCTTCATGAGCTGTGTTTAAAAAGTAAAGTATGTAGATAGGCTAAAAACTCTTAATAAACTCTAAAAGCATAAATTATATTTTATAGCTTCATGACACATATTAATAATAACAACCCACACGTCACACACGGCCGTCTGATCCCCAACTAGGCAGAGCCTGTACTATGATAACCAGACCGCTGACAAACATACTTATATATTTACATCGTCATCATCAACATCCATTACTAGTCCATTGCTAGACATAGGGCTCTCCTTAGAAAGGATATATGGCCTATATTTACATATCATAGATAAATTATTATTATTTGTGGTAGGTGAGAATCGAACTCATGGCCTCTTGCTCTGCAGTTAGAAGCACTAACCACTAGACCAACAGGCTTGTCAGTATTAACTCCTCCTCCTCCTGCTACACTTTACAGTGCTTACCGGTGAAAGCACTGTACAGTGTAGCAGCACAAAAGTAGTTAATAATTAGAAGAACTTGAAATACAACATATATTTTTTTTTACTTGTAATCATGGGATTGTATAGAAGAGAAAAAATCAATTTTAGAAATCAGACTGCATTATTTTGAATCATCATCATCATTAACAGCCTTTAAAAGTTCACGTCTGGACATAAGCCTCTCCTTAGAAAAGAGGTTTTGACTTCTATACCATGCTGGCTGCAGTGGGAAGCTTTTTAGCTTTACCTGAGATAGAGCCTAGTTAGGTGCGTTGTCGAACTGGGGGAGTTACAATCACATGGCCCAGTTCTCCCTATAGCAGGGCGCCTAAGGTGGCCGTTGTCATGGTTTTTAGTGGAAACACCACATACTCCATGTGGCTCCTATACACCCAAGGAGCCAGAGATCTGAAGATATATTCCACTGCATCACCAAAAAAACACACACGTGCCAGACGAGTTGGTATAAAGTTTGTGTTAAGTTTTCCTTCTCTTGAATAACCAATACAAAAAAAATTTGAAAAACCTATTCTAGTAGGTGAAATTTCAAATAAAATTCTGCCTCTTAGAGGGTAAACTAACAAATATCTAGTAAAAACATAGATATTGAGAAGGACACATAGGAAAACAGGCAATGTATGCAGAACAATCATATTTGTGTATTTTTAATGGTAAACAGATCAAAGTCGAATGGGCATTTCTGCCGCTCTCATATGCACATGCACAGCCATTTTAAAAATTGCCACGAAGATGCTATCTAAAACCTCGTACAGATCAAACTGCTGCCCATAGACACTGCCAAATAAGATGCTTGTTGGCCCGTCCAATGTGTTTCCAGGTTCTCTGACATTGTAATGCTCACCATAAGCTTCTATGATACTGATGTGGTATGATAGCTTTAGAAATGGTGGTGATTGTTTATTAAGTAACTATTGTTTAGAATATTGTATTGTATCCTATTGTTACAGAACCGAGATCCAAATAATCCAGATGCTGCATTTCCTGGAATTCTCGGAGGATGGAGGCCTGACTTACAAGGTAGAGAGAGAAGGGACTCCAGGCAGTTGAAGAGAGATATCTTTGTCACAACTAACTATGGACAAGTTCAGGGTTTTAAGGTGAGAATAATTTTAATATTAAATTTTTATTTTCTTGTTTGAACCTTAAGTTTTCTTATCATGATTCAGAAAGCTTACAATATGGTTTTGAAGGCAATGTTTTTTTTTTATTATTGTGGAATTCACTTATAACTTATGTAACTGACAATTTTATTTTTCAATTAAGTTAGTTAATTTTTATTTAATATTTCCCAATTTATATAAATAGTTAAATATGTTTGAAATAATTCAACAGGTATACTTATATGACAATCCAGATCCAGACGTTGGATTCAGGCCATGGTTGAGCCCAGTAGAAAGGATACAAGGAGAAGTGTCCGTTTTCCTGGGAATACCATATGCGAGGCCACCTGTTCTTGAAGGCAGATTTAAGGTATGACTCTTACTGTAGAATACAGAGTAGAGATTTTATATTATTGACATTTACAAACTTGAAAGACAAAAGTCCTTTGTCTGCATTTACAAAGTAAATTGTGAAAAACAATAATGTTAGAAGCTACTGTAGTAAGTAAGTTGATTGAAATTGAATTGTGACCGAACTTTTATTACGCTCTTAAGAAGCCCCCTTCCCCCTCCTTCTTATAAGTAAGGAAGCGGGAATTGCCCCAATAAAAAACAGGCTAGCATAAAATGCAAATCATAAAATAATTTATCTATATCCTTTGTTAGAACTTACACTATGGTAAACTATTACCACTTCCTTGAGAGATTTAATCGAACAACTCCTGACTTGTGTGATTAAATCTCTCAAGGACAAAAAATTATGTGGTTCACAAATAGTTATTAAAATTACACAGGAATCAATCCGAATACGTACGAAATATTTTGTTTCATAGGATAGTTTTTTTAAAAAAGGTAATAAAACTAATATCTACAACTTTTCTTGTAGCCTCCAAGACAACACCAAGGCTGGCAACTAATACAGGCTGTTGATTGGGGTCCAGCATGTCCACAACCAGTCCGTTTCACGGGTGCTACTAAAGGCGTCAGAGATATGGATGAAGACTGTTTATACCTCAACATATTTTCACCTACCGTAAGTATTATACTGTAACCTAAAGAGTTCAGACTGCTCAATATACTATTCCCACCTATGTTAAGCGTTTTAATGGTCTCTACTCTGCTCTTAGAGGTTTTTTGAAGCTTATTAATATGTCTCAAGAAATTATAAAATACAAAAAGAATATTCGAAGGTTGACAAGTTTCGTAATCTAAACATTATAGGCTAATTAATATTATCAACATGCCTGTGAACGCCCCAGTAGGTTAATGCTTCTAGAATGAGCTTGGTTGGCCATTCTTGAGTCTAAATTCTGAAATTCATTATCATGGCTTCTATGAAATGAACCTATTCCCAAGTGCAAATTGTGACATGCCTACAATAAACATGGGATTTGCTGCTTTTTTTAAACATTATTGCATAGACAAAGTTGCTTTGGACGAATGAGGCCTTGTTACAAATACACTAAACTGATGTTAGCAGAGCCTTTGTCCCTAGAGTATGGTGTCCTTGATGCACCTTATAATGAATATTATATTGTACTACAATGGTTATGTAATGTGTCATAGATTTAAATTGGTTGGCCTGGTTGGAATAGAATATTTTACTCTATGAATGTAAAGATTAAAAAAACATGATTTTCAAATCATTTGCAATGTTGTATTGTATTGTGTAATATGTATTTAAAAATTAAATTTTTAATGATTAATTTCGGTTCTACAAGTATATGAAACGCCATCTAAAGTAATCAAATACTAAGCAAATTGAATTATTTTTTTTAAACTTCCATACATCTTATTTCCCTGTTGATTATTAACTTAAATGTGAACAGGGTATACATCAGACAACAGAGAATACATTTCATAAATGGCGGAAAGTTTTTAACTTCTTTAGGCGCGTTGTGCATTTTTTAACAACAAACAAAAGAATGTATTTAATGGGAAAAAACCATTGAACTCGCGATACCGTTACCGACATCTCTGTTGAAGTGAAAACTTCTTTAGGCGCGTTGGGCATTTTTCGAAATGGGAAAAAACAATTGAAATCGCGACACTGTTACCGTTACCGAGACCTCTGTATACTGTATCAAATACTAAGCAAATTGTAATTTTTGTTTTAAACTTCCATACATCTTATTTCCCTGTTGATTATTAACTTAAATGTGAACAGGGTATACATCAGACAACAGAGAATACATTTCATAAAAGGCGGAAAGTTTTTAACTTCTTTAGGCGCGTTGTGCATTTTTTAACAACAAACAAAATAATGTATTTAATGGGAAAAAACCATTGAACTCGCGATACCGTTACCGACATCTCTGTTGAAGTGAAAACTTCTTTAGGCGCGTTGGGCATTTTTAGAGATGGGAAAAAACAATTGAACTCGCGACACTGTTACCGTTACCGAGACCTCTGTATATAAGTATTCACTTCTGTCGGCACTCCCGGAGTAACAATGTTTTTTTTTCGGTGTAGGGATGGAAAGTAACTACCACCGTCCGTGTCATTTGCTACTCAAGAGTCACTAATACGTTGCCGCCCTTTGTGTCCTGTCTCCCCACAACCAGGAGGAGGGGTGGCTGGTTTGGCTCCGGTAACGTCACTCACTCGGTCAAAAGCAACGCCAAAATTACTTAAAACTTAATTAAAAAGCGTAGAGTGCTTTTCAAGATCCATACTAATATTTTAAATGCGAAAGTGAGTTTGTCTGTCTGTTACCTCTTGACGCTTAAACCGCTGAACCGATTAGATGAAATTTGGTATAGAGATGGCCCAAGTCCCGGGAAAGGACAAAGGGTAGTTTTTATTCCAGAACTCGTCCTTTAGGAGGGTGAAAGGGGGGGGTGGTAGAATTTTATATGGGGAATCAATAACCGCTGAACCCATTCGAATGAAATTTGGTATGCAGATACTTTGATTCTTGAGGAAAAACATAGGCTACTTTTTACCGCGATAACCGACATTTACGCGGGCCAAGTCGCGGGCAAAAGCTAGTAGTTTATAATATAATAGCTTTACTTTTACCAATATCTTGCAATTAAATATTTACAACAATTGACATCTAGGACATCCCATGTATTTTTACGATAAAATTATTTTTCTTTTTGAACTTTTAGAAAAAAAAAAACGACTTCTTAGTTCGGTTAGTTACAAAAGCATTTATTTTTGTTTTTTAAAAAAAAATTATTTTCTATATACTATACCTATATATTTACGTCCAAAGTGACATTTCGTTTGTCTGAACAGGGGCTGTTGTTAATGATATAAATTTAACGTGACGCCGTATCTAGCCATACATATGCTCACATCATACACACACTTACGTACTAAACTAACTGAACACAGCTAATGAAGTACTAATTAGCTCATTGACATCAGAGCTCATTCAACAATGATTCATTAGTTACCGCCCAACTGCTTTCAATTAGCCTGTACTGTTGATATCCTCTTCCTAAATATTGCTCGAAAATGAACTGTAACGCCGTAGAATAAAGTATAATATGATTAACTGTTTCTTGAGGTAGTCTTCAAACCTTTCGGTTTGGGTGCCATCCCATAAATAAGTAAGTAAAACTTATGTCGTGCAAAATAAGCCTCTCAGCAGTTAGACTAAGGTTGTAAATTGTACTGTAACATTTTTTTTTAGTACGACTTATGTCAAATTGGCAGTCATTAAGATAATTGATTAATGGACAGAACGGAGCTAACAAAATGCTTGAGTAGACTACGGCTACCTACTGTGAATAAATTGGTGTAATTAATAATAATTATAACTTGACACATCCCAAACTAGGCAGAGCCTGTGCTACGGTAACCAGACTGCTAAAAACATATTTAAATATTTCTAAATACATACATATTAAAGATAAATTGCACTCAGACACAGAACAACTGATCGTGCTCATCATACGATTATTTGTCCTATATGGAAATCGAACCCCCGACCTCCTGCATAGCAGTCAAGGCCACTAACCACTGGACCAACAGGCCCGTTGTCAACAAATTATCATTTGTTCATGTTCATGTTTGTTTTGTTAGCATTCGGGATTTTACTACCAGCTGGCTGGGTGCAAATATTCGGCACGCAATATTTTTAATTTGTTTTTACAACTCCCGCACTGCGGGAACGTTGTGCTGCCATATAAATTACGAAAGAAATTAAATCGTGAAATATAGTAAAAGAGAAAAAAAGACTACGACCAATTCTCATACCTACCAAATATACAAAAACAAAAATCATTAAAATCGGTCGAGCCGTTTCGGAACAGTGCGACCAAAACCTCGAGGCACGAGATATTTTTATAGTAGACTAACTTTTGCTAACGTTTTCATTCGCGTGGTGGTTGACATCATAGATTGTAGAGGATACGCTACTACCCAAAAATAACGAAGTTTCATATAAAATTTCAACCCCTATTTTGCACCCTTGGAGGTGGATTTTACATAAATCATTTCTTACTGCACACCTACGTAACCTAAGGAAGATTTGTGCAAAAATTCATGCTTTTAGACCCAACGGTTGCAGCTGTGCGTTGATCGACGAGTCTGTCAGGTTCCTCTTTTATACATATAGATAATGTAAGGTTTTTAATTGTTTCTATTCTCAGACTGACGCAGGCTCCACGGCCCAGAGGTACCCAGTAATGGTGTACATCCACGGTGGTCAGTTCACATCGGGTGCTTCTAACCTCTTCCCTGGTCATATGCTCGCCGCCTTCTACAATGTCATCGTCGTTTCCTTCAACTATAGATTGGGAGCTCTTGGTAAGTTGAACGATAAATTCGCATACACACATACTTATCAGCGAAGGGGATTTAGCCCCACTTATGTAATAGGTTAGGTTCATCATCATCAACAGCCTTTAATAGTTTACTCCTGGACATAGTAGAAAAGAGGTTTTTGCCAGGGTTGGATACCTGTAACTCGTATTGGCTTGCTAGAAACTTCGAGTCTGAGCGAACTATTGGCCGCAGTTGGTTACTTACTTTGCAGTGTTATTTACTTTTGAAAATCACGAACTCCCATACGACCATTCATCCCTCATTTTACCCCTTATCTTGTGGAAATTTCCAAAAACCTTTTCTTAGTGGGTGCTTACAACATAAAAAGCATCAGATGCAGATGACATTTCAAGTCTGTAGCCCCAGCGTTTTGGCTTTGCCTTGATAAAACAGTCAGGGCAGGTAATTTTATGTGTATAGATTAACATGAAATATACAAATGTTTGCCGACCCTCGGGAACCTTAGATTTTTTAAATCATTTATTCATAAAAAAAATGTTAACATTTATAAGTTCCTCGCCAAGCTTTTAACAATTTTATATTTATTGTAAAGACCTTAAAACTACATTGTATATGTTAGAGCTTGTACATAGCATCACATCACATCAACAACCTTTAATAGTCGACTGCTGGACATAGACATCTCCTTAGAAAGGAGGTTTTGGCCTACTATACCACGCTGGCCAGACGGGTTGGTATAGGGTTTGTGTCAAGTTTTCCTTCTCTCTGCAGTGTTGTTGTTCTGCGTAGTTTTTTCCCTTAGTCGGCTCTTACGACACCCACGGGATGAATAGGGGTGGTGACACTCTGTATTCTTAATCCGTCACCACACGGACCATAACATAAGTTCTATGTACAAGGGGCCAACCCAAAGACTAAATATATGGATCGACTGCCTCGCACTAATGGACCTCACTGATAGTAGTGACACCCTCGCCACAGTAGATTCTTCAAGTTCAATTTGAACGTATTTTTCTGTTCTCAACAGTTCTATTGCATTAAATATTTTAGGGACTAGATATTCAGTCATTCTCTCCTTAATAGTTATAAAATTTTTGGTTTTACCTGCTATCTTTGTCTCACGTTTCTTGTATTGTATGGGTTATCAACTTTAATTTTGAATGATATGCATATTTCAGGTTTTCTATCAACCGGCGACGAGAACTCCCCAGGTAACTACGGCATCTTAGACCAGGCAATGGCACTCCGCTGGGTGTACGATAACATAACTCCATTCAACGGAGACAGGTCATCCATCACGCTGTTCGGCCCTGGAGCAGGCGGGGCCTCCGCCGGTCTTCTGGCTGTGGCACCTCGGACAAGGGATCTCATCAGTAGAGTCATAGCACAGGTATGTGTTTATTTGCGTAAAGCAAAACTAACTTGAGAAGAAGTAACTTCAGAACATTCTAGAACCACTCATTTCCTCTGAAGTTAGAACTAGAAAGACGGTTTACCATCTACCAAACGGATACTAGGAGAGCGAAGCCTTATTTCCTACGAATCCTTCGTTCACAATACTATTAACAACTTATGTGGATTCCTCTACACTCTAAGATTATTTTTTTGAATCTTTATATGTTTAGGATATATCTTTCGGTTCAAAATAATAATAACCTCACACACATCTCACAAACGGCTGTCTGATCCCAAACTAGGCAGAGCCTGTACTATAGTAACCAGACTTTTGATAAACATACTTCTATATTTCTAAATACAAACATATTATAGATAAATTACACCCAGACACAACAAACAATCGTGCTCATCACACAAATATTAGTCATGGGTGGGAATCGAACCCACGACCTCTTCTTAGTAGTCAGGGTCACTAACCACTAGACCAACAGGCCCGTCGACACGAACAAAAATAAAAAATAAATAAAATAAACTTTATTCTGTAAGAACACGAACCTATGCCTACCTCATAACTTAGTATTAAAAACGATTTCTTTTATAAGCGTTGATTTTTGACACAGAGTGGATCAGCGCTGGCTGACTGGGCGCTCATCGAAGACAAGTTTAGAGTCCAGAATACGTCGTTGGTCTTCGGGCGACTACTCGGCTGTCCTATAGATTCCTCGTGGAGATTGGTCAACTGTCTCAGACAAGGCAGAAGTTTTTTTGAACTGGGGAATGCTGAATTTCAGGTATTTTCTTTAAATATATACCTTTATTTTTCAAAATCGAGAAAAAAGTGAAATAAGTTGGTTTTTTATTTCTAGCCACATGTAGGCTTCATGCCCTGGGGTCCAGTTTTCGAAAACAATTTCACATTTCCCGGAGACGAATGGTACGACGGCTGGAGGGAAAGAGATTGGCACTTCTTGAACACGATGCCAGAGGAATTAATTAAGAGGAGACAATTCAACCCGGCGCTGAGATACATGACCGGGGTGACTACGCAGGAAGCTGCTTATTATTTATGTAAGTGTAATGTAGTATCACTTGTTTACACTAATTTATCTACTATAATGTTACTATAGTCCATTCGCGTTAAGAAAATAGTGACGCATCAAGCAAGTCCAGGCACCCGACCAATCAGGTCCCAAGAAATTATCGTTTCATACGAAAGTTTGAAACCTGATTGGTCATATTCTGCCATAGCAATGGTTCATGGCTTTGATTGCCGCTTAGTGCAAAATTGTACGTGTTTTCGTGGAATAATGGGCGCTATGTCCCTTAAACACAAAGAAAGGATCTTCCGACCAGGCGATGTGATCATGCTTGGCCCAACTGTTGATGTTGGGAAGTTGTTGTGTTATGTATACTAAACGTTATGAGAACTTTTTTTGCGCAATGGGGGATTAGTAAAAGTAAAGTACAAGCTAAATAAGTTCGAGCCTTATTTTTGTGGAATCTCACCGGCCCTTAAAGGCAAGGATGTATCGGACTTAAACTAACTAAAACCATACAGTATTTCGTCAGCTGTAAATGCAGTAATACAGGCTGTAAGGGACGTATTTTTGACGCAGAACCATGGTCTGAATACACCATTTCAGTATTCGTTACGACGTCCCTTACACCCTGTCATCATCATAATCATCAACAGCCTTTAATAGTCCACTGCTGGACATAGGCCTCCCCTTAGAAAGGAGGTTTACACCCTGTATATCTGCAATAATATTATGAAGCTGAAGAGTTTGTTTGTTTGGTTGAACACCCTAATCTCAAGAACTACTCGTTCGAATTGAAAAAATATTTTTGTATTAAATAACCCATATATCGAGAAAAGCTATAGGCTATATAACATCACGCTACGACCAATAGGAGCGGCACATCAATGAAAAATGTTGCGAAAACCTTTTGCAAAAGTTGCGCGGGTCCGCTAATATATCCTCAAATGTTCAATGATTACCAGAAACAAACTCAACAGAAATTAAATAAATTTAGCTTGCAGACAGATATTTAAACCCGCTCCTATAAAATAAATTGTTTTTAACTTTACAGATAACAACGAATCTCTAGCTCCTAACTTCGAGATAACAGAAGACTGGTTCAACCGAAAGGTTCAAGAACTGGTCCTCAGATACAACTACACGTTGAACCCACGAGGAGTGTTCGAAGCCATCCGTTACATGTACACGTATCACCCAGAACCGCATAATGTCAGTGCCATAAGGGATCAATATATTCATGTAAGTTATATATATATTTGCTTTCTGAAACGACTGTAAGACTTGTGGTACCTGATGGTAAGTGACTACTGCGCATGGACACCTAAAATTAAGTCACAAATGGGTTGCGCCATTGAATCCCCCCCAAAAAATGACATGGGGGTTTTGGGCTCTGGTAACCTCACTCGATTGGTTAAAAGTTGGGAAGGCACTGCATAACACCGGTTTTCACCGGTGTCATAACACTGGATTTCCGCTAGCTTTGGGTCACTCTGCGCGAGCCGTCCTATCTGTGCTGAATCATGCTCTCATATTGGAATAAGGTCATCTGGCCTGTAAGGAGTCATCACTACTCCATACATAATTGATGATGTTTGAAGTCTATCGATGTTAAAACGCAAAAATGCTTACTTACTAGACTTCAAAAAAGTCATAAAAGCACTTAAACAAAAAATAATAATAATGCACACTTAATTGAATAATTACAATTCAGTGGCAACTTTTATTTAATACACAACAATATAAAAGCACCAGTCTGTTTGGAGCTGGTTCTAAGCTGAAGACCCCATTTGGCTGGTTTAAAATTGACTCCGCATGCCATTTGAAATAACAAAAATTCAATCAATCCATAGGTTTTACTTATAGGTAAAAATTCATAAATCAATATGGACCTATTCTATTTTGAAGCCAGTTAGAAAATTGAAAAATATAATAAAAATCGGAAAATCTAGGTAAATATTTCGGTGATCAATTATCATGTAAGGATAATTACAATAGCTTTTTTTTAAACAGGATCAGTTGCAAAGTTAAAGCGGTTTTAGATAGTTTAGACACTATAACATTTGCAGTATTCATATTATCATCATCATCAACAGCTCTTCTTAATCCACTGCTGGGCATAGGCCTGTTCTTAGACAGGAGGTCTTGACCTACTATACCCCCTGGCCAGACGGGTTTGTGTCAAGTTTTCTTTGCAGTGCTGTTGTCCTGCGTTGTTTGCTCATTTAGTCGGCTTTTACGACACCCACTGAAATGAATAAGGGTGGTGACACTCTGTATTTTTAATCTGTCACCACACGAATAATTTCTATTTTACAGAATGGTATATTTCATTTCACAGCTGTTATCAGACTTCCTGTACCGTGCTCCTACAGACAAAATGGTAAAACTGTTACTGGAACAGAACGTGCCGGTGTATATGTACGTGCTCAACACGACCATAGAGGCCTTCAACTTCCCGGAGTGGCGGCGCTACTCGCACGACATAGAGCACTTGTTCCTCACCGGCGCTCCCTTCATGGACCAGGAGTTCTTCCCCAACAAGCAGCGTAGGGACCAGCAGGCCTGGACCGGCAACGATCGCAATATGAGCCATTTCTTTATGAGGACTTATTCGGACTTCGCCAGGTTTGGGTGAGTTGGACATTTGTAAGTTTTTTTTATGGATGAGGGGACAAACGAGCAGACGGATCAGTCAAGGCTAAGTTAAAGTAAAAAAAATAATGGCCGTTTATGTCGCAAAAACGCATATTTCGATACTCTCAAGGGAATCAATATTTATAGGGTACTTACCGTTGACTAAATCTATGAAATTTGGCAAGTAACATCGTCTTGTATTACAAGTACAGGGTTTTTTTTTAAACTATACATTTGTAATTAAATCACAAATAAACATAGTCTTTATTTAAAGTTCAGCCCAAAAACATCTGCGAGGATCGATTCTTGAACTATTTATAAAATGTACCTACAAATTTGTACGCAACCCTCGGTGGGTGAGTTCGACTTGCTCTAATCCGGATTATTTTAGTTACATATTTCTTTTTTTTCCTATTTCAGCAATCCAACTCGCTCCCGAGTTTTAGGTGTTCACTTCGAGCTAGCTCAGGCAGGACAGCTGCGGTACCTCAACTTGAACACAACCTTCAACTCTTCCATAATGCTGAACTACAGACAGACGGAGCTGGCGTTCTGGAACATGTACCTGCCAACCGTTATAGGCAGGCTTGTACCTACTTACCCACCTATCACTGAGGTATGAAAGAAACAGCGCTGTTTTTTTATGGAATAATAGATCAACTACCAAATGGGTCGCGAATGGATCCCTGCAACTAAGGGCAGGGGAAGGTTTGGGTAATCTCACTCCCTTAGTGAAAAGCAAAAGAAAGAATTGCGTAACACCGGTTTTCTGAGAGGCTGTGGTGTTACTCCAATCGAGCTGACCAATTTATGCCAAAGCATGGCTCTCCCACAGTCAAACCGTAGGCAAAAGTTTTATCATAGTTAATGGTAGTATTTCTAAACTAGCTCTGATTAGTTCAAGTTCAAACAGCGATATGTAAAATATATATAATACAATATGTATATTTTACTCCAGTTTTGGTGGGAGCCCAATCAGCCATTGCAGATAGCGTTCTGGTCGGTGTCGAGCGCCTGCATCATTCTTATCGTGCTGTTGGTCGTCTGCTGCATGCTCTGGAGAAACGCTAAACGGTAGGACAACACACTAATTTCTTGAATATCATAACTTTTTAGAACATAAGATAATATATTGGAGTTCGTGTATTAATAATACTACAGTCCATTCGCGTTATGAAAATAGTGACGCATCGATCAAGCCCCTGACCAATCAGGTTTCAAGCTTTAGTAAGAAACGATCATTTCTTGGAACTTGACTGGTTAAGGGCGTCACTGTTTTCTTAACGTGAATGGGCTATAGTATAGTCCATCAGCGTCGTGCGCGTCGTGCGCGTCGGGGTGACAGACGGTGGCGGGGACGAGGTACTCAAGATGTCAGCGGGTAGCGGGTGGTGTAGCGGGGAAGGGAAACGCTTCTCTTCGTGTGTAGCCGTGTGCTAGAATGACGCGCTACCTCGCCCCCGCCACTGTCTGTCACCCCGCGGGACGGTCGCGCACGAGATTGCCGGGTTATAGTCTAATGTGATTGGAGATGGACTATTTCAAATATGTTATGGTTTTATTAAAATTGGGATAAGTAATGGAATTGCTATGTGAGATCTCTCTAGGGTATATAGTATTGCATGTATGTCTATTATCGAATATATCTATTATCGAATACTCCATAGTATGAATGAAAAAAAAAATGTATCTATGTATTATACCTGCTGACAATTTTTTGTACACTTTTGTATCAAAATTGGTTAAATAGTCTTATAATCGTATAAAGCCCTACATTGAATAACGTAACAGATTATACAGTCCGTTCAAAAATTAAAAGAAGAAATATTTATATTGAAATAAACCTGAAAAATTATTATAATATGTTGTTTAGATATGCGCACTTAACATAGGAATAACATTTTTCAAAGCAAAAGGTATTTTTTTTCTAAATACGTGTTTAAAAAATTAGATACTCTTTTGTAACAGCCTGTATAGTTACGATTATAACCAATTTTGTTACAAATAGTGTAGGACGTGTTTGTGTGAGACCCTATACTTATTTGTTTCAAATCCTTTTTAACAGGGCTAAACCACCAAAATGGAAAATGATACCGGCGATGTAGGTGAAACTAACATTTATTTGTAATACGCTTATAGTTGCTTTTTGTGTGCTATGTATGCGTATATATTTGTATACAGGGTTTTAGGGAAATGCTCCCGACGAAAGAAACGATATTACTAATTAGTGATGTGTCCGATATCCAAGGGGGAAGGAATATCCGTTACTTTACGGATCTTTTACCTTATTAAATTTCAGCAGAAAGATGAAATTCTATATATAGATAATAAGATAGTAATTAAAAACTATAAATTCCATCCAAATTATTTTTATATTGTAAACATTTTGTAATTTTGGATTTTGCATGTGAGTTATCGTACAAGTATTACATAATTCAAGGGCATTAAGTCCATTATTTTTATAATGAGATCAATCACAAATCTTTATAATAAGCTCATTAAAATAATGATATATTTAAACATTAATTATAGGAAGTTTTTATAAAATATTAATTATAATTATTAAAAGCGTCAAGTGGCTTCAACTATCGTTTTAAGGTCACGCGCACCGACACCAACTGAGTAAAAGTTAATATCCGTATCCGGTGATCTTGTCACCAAATATCCGTATTCGGATCCGTATCCGCGGATATTTAATTTTAACGATCCGGCACATCACTAGTACTCATGATACTTTTGATCATGGATCAGTAAAAAATCGATTCCGACCAAAGTTTTCAATTAAATCAAAGAATAATTTGAAACTTGGCGTTAAAAGATTTCGTTGATAAGTTAGCTACAAGTGTTTTGGTTACACTAGTAATAATAATTGCTAGCGTTTTAATAAAATACATTTGATTTAATGCAATATTTATGAAACAAAAGGGAATAAGTCCCTTTCACAGCTTTCATTTTGTTTCCAATGCTTTAGGAAAGTGTAAATAGTTTTGCTTGATGTGTTTTGATAATTTAGTATTGGTTTTTGTAACTCACGAACATGTATCACCTCATAGGAATATATAACACACTCCCTTAAACCATTTATTTCTACTATAAGTGCTCACCGCTTTCTTAGCACTCCTACCCCCTTTCCTATCCAGCAGTGGACTATTTAAGGACTGTTGATGATGATACATATGTATATTCTTAAATTCCTTCATACAAACCTTTGCGTAGCTCACCGTATAATATAGTATACCCTATTAGACTGTGCGGATGGCGTAGTGGTTTAAGCGGTCACCTCACCGCTTTCTACTGCGCTGAGTGTTGTGGGTTCGATCCCCCACACGGGACAACACTTTGTGTGATATACAAATTGTTGGAACGAAGTTCCTTATCGCGCGTTGTGAAAGGGGGCTAGACGGAAAAAAATCTCACGAAAAGTTGTAACGACACTTTTTGCTAACTTTAATAATATATATTATTATTCTGAGTCTGGGTGCTTTTTGTGTCCGTTACCATGTATGTTTGTAAAATCCCCCGCGACATAGGATATATTCCTAGTGCGGCAGTTGTCCGTTAAGTAAAAATAAATTATGAAATGTATTTTTTTTTTATTGCAAATGTATAAAGAAATATGAGGAAACAGTATAATCTATGAAACGAAAGTATGGAACTAACGTTTGTGTGAATTTCGCCCGCTGTGAGCGGTTTTGTTTTGTGTATGTATATTTTTGACAGATTTTTACACGGCTTGTAAAAATCTGTCAAAACAAAAGGTATTTTGTTACACATACACACGCATGTGTTTGCTTTTTTAAAATACATGTATTTGTTGCATCCTTTTTTGTCATTATTAGAATGAAGCCGTGCCACTTAAATTTAAAGAATAGTTATTAATCATAATTATTTTATTATATTTATGTGAAATATATGTTTAATGATTGTAGTGAGACAGATCGTTACTACGACGGTGACGTATTCATGGTGCCGGAAGTAGAAGAGAGTGGCATAGACAACTCGACCCGTTCCAGAGACAATATCTACGAATATAGAGATTTGCCGATCAAGAAGTCACAAACGCCCCAGCCTATTCCTAGAACTGTAAGTTATTGTTATGTTTCGTACCCATTTTAAACAAATATGGCGGAAGAAATTTGTAATAGGTACCTAATGTTTTTTTTATTTAATTATTTTTGCACAAACGCAATTAATTATACAATGGCGGACTTATACCCACAGGCCTTTTTGTTCCCAGTCTATCTTTGGATGGTGGGGAAATCTCTGAGTAGATGCATTAAAAATTAAGTTTTTTGTTTTAACGAGATGATAATAATTAACTAGATGGACACAAACAGATGGACAGATTTACATACGTACTGAAGTACACATACATATTTGCTGAGTTACATACATGTATGTATTATGTAGAAGTGCACAATTATTTTTTTTAAATTAATATGTGCTATAAAGTTTAACTTAATGACAGTTCGATTATATTATTATTAGCCAATGAATTAATGTTTGTCAAGACATTCAAAATGGTGGAATTTCATATCCAGAAGGATATGTATATCAAATATATATATCTGATGGAAATCAGATATATTTCGCCCTCAACGTCACCAGCGTTTAAGTTGTTTTGTATTGCTGTATGTATGCAGCACAGAAATGATTTTCTTTCTTCATTCAAATTATTTGTAAAACCACGGGCTATTGTATTATATTTTCAAATCAATTCAAATTATTCATTTCGGACTATTACATCCATATAGTGTTAGTAACAATGTGTTTTAAAAACTAGTGTTAGTATTGAATGATATTTATTCGATTATTATAATTTTTTTATTTTACGTGAATGGAAATCCACCTCTGAATAAAGGAAGAGTCCCATGTATCTGAAAAAACTTTCAGGATGCTTTCCATATTCTTATATATATCGGCTAACTAACTTATTGCCTTTCCTGCTTTTCAGAGCCGTGGGGCTCTGAAAGCGAATGTTAGGATTATGGTCCAACAGCATTTGAAATCGTGTCCTCTAAAATTGCATTGAACACTCTGCCAGCGCTGCTTATTTTGTTACATTAGAACCTCATAACACTGTTATTACTAACATTATATTTGTGCAGATAAGCCAGCCTCAAGTCTTCGCCGCCCGCCCCCCCTCCGAGGCGTCAACAGGCTCGGCGATGTCTCTAAAGGAGAGTTCCTTGTCGCGGGTCCCAGAGCCGCTGCCCAGAGCCCGCTCCAGGACACAGATCGTGCACGGGGTGCCTCAGACCACCGTCTAAATTACTTCACATAAGAAATACTTTAAACTCTATTCAGCGATGCTTGAAGAAAATAACTAAAGGAGCACAAAGATTGTTATCGTTTAATTATGTATCTAAATACAAGGTGATAAGGTTTCTTTTGCTCTAGCTACAACCTGCAGCAAATTTCCGACTGAGTGACTTCTATGCATTGTATTTAAGTATGATTTTGCTTTACAGTTTCTAGTGTAATTTAAATGATTTTGCTTTACAGTTTCTAGTGTAATTTAATACTTTCCATAAAAGTTCGGAATATACCATAAAAATATTTAAATATAAGGAGTGATGCTTTAAAATGTACTATAAACACATGCTTCTTAGTAAGTAAGACAAAACTTCGAGCAAAGTTAGATCTCCAAGAAATATAAAATAAAATTTGGGAAACGTGTTTCTGAAAGAAATTTGTCGCGTAGTGTATGTTAAGTTAATAGTAAGTACGTTTTATGTTATTATATTCTTTATATATAAATATATATATATATATATATATTCTATGACATTCACACAACGCCATCTAGTCCCAAACTAAGCAGAGCTTGTACTATGGGTACTAGACAACTGATATAAATACATTTAAACTTTTTTTTTGTAAATACATACATAATATTCATAAAAAAACCCAGACCAAATCAAACATTAAATGTTCATGCACACAAATGTTTCACTTGAGCGGAAATCGAACCCGCGACCTTTGGAATAGCAGTCCGTTACACAAACCACTACGCCATTCGGTCGTCGTATTAATAATTTTTATTTTTACTACTTGTTAGTAGTTTATTTATCAGCACTTTAAGATAAATAGTAAGGAAACACCTCAAAATCGTACCGATGTAGGTATTATAAGAGTTAATGTTGAATTTCATACAAACTATTTTAAGTTTAAAGCACAAGCACTAATAGTGATGATATTACTACCACGGAATACATAATTCCCACTCCGCAAAATCATTCAAATAAATAGCGACTCTGTTGCGATAACAATAAAGTGCAATTCAGGTCGCAAATCTGTAATGACTCACAGTTATATTTAACTAAGCATTTTATTCGCGGACCTCTTTTTTCTTCTGACGACTCGCTCTTTCACACATTTCTTTATCTTTTCATATTTTTAATGGAAAGTGTAAAACAACTTGAGTTTTGTATCCTGATTATTATTTAAGGAGCCGAATGTGGTTCATTCACCCTGTATTATAAATAATGTTATTCCAACAAAACGGCGTTGTCCGTGAGTCACCAACCAAGTAACCAGCGACAACATTTGCTCGACCACCGGAGTGCACTGAACATGCCCGGCATATCGAGGTCGCTATTTACTTGTAGCTTTTATACCTAAAGTGGACTTAGCGTAGTTACTAATTAGATAGATAGATAACTCTTTATTTGCACACATTTTAAAAGTATTATGGTACATAAAAATTTCAGACATGTAATATACAAAGGGCGGCCTTATTGCTAAGAGCAATCTCTTCCAGGCAACCTTAGGATGGATTAAAATGTTTTGGAGAGACAGTAGTAGTTGAAGGTGCAATGGTAAAATTAAATAAATATTTACACATAAACACATATATAATTGTATGTATATTGTATGTGTTTATGTGTAAATATTTGTTTAATTTTACCAATGTCATGTACATACGATACATTAGCGTAGTTACTAATTATTAGCAAGCAATATATTAAATATTTAAAATTAAATAAAAGCCTCGCACATCTCACACACGGCAGTCTGATCCCAAACTAGGCAGAGCCCGTATGATAACCAGACTGCTGATAAACATACTTATATATTTCTAAATACATACATATTAAAGATAAATTACACCCAGACACAGAACAAACAATCGTGTTCATCACACAAATATTTGTCCTGGGTGGGAATCGAACCCACGACCTTCAGCTTAGCAGTCAGTGTCATTAACCACTAGACCAACAGGTATTAAGCGACATTCACTAATATGTGACTTCACTGGTTTTTTTTTCTTTTAAGTTTTATTTTTAATCTAACATTGGTTGTTATTTTTACTTTAATACTGGCAGCTATCTGCAATTGCTTTAAGAAGATGCCATTACCAGATCCATAATGTAGACTGATATATTTAAGTAGGATCCTCGATATTACAGCGTATTTGTATACAAATATATATGTTTGAATCAACGAAATTAAAATTTTGTTTGAACAGATAATCATGAATTGAAATTCGAAGATAGTACGATAGGATATAGTAGAAAAGCTGTAGTACAGATGCTGACACAAATCTTTCATCATCATCATCAACAGCCTTTAATAGTCCACTGCTGGACATAGGCCTCTCCTCAGAAAGGAGGTTTTGGCCTATACTATACCACGCTGGCCAGACGGGTTGGTATAGGGTTTGTGTCAAGTTTTCCTTCTCTCTGCAGTGCTGTTGTCCTGCCTAGTTTTTTTCCCTTAGTCGCTTCTTACGACACCCACGGGATGAATAGGGATGGTGACACTCTGTATTCTTAATCCGTCACCACGCGGTCATAAAACATATTAATGTACTGAAATAAAGGATTCGACCTAAACATTTAATTAATTACAAACTTTTAATTCATTTTAAGATATTCAAGAAATCGGTAAATGAGGACCATTCGTGCTGTACATTTAGTGATAAATAATTTATTTTTAACTTGGTAATCTGAGAATTTTCAGTGATGTTTAACTTCGTATATGCGATTAAAAATCTAAAACTTAAAGCGGTTCTCGAGGTTTTTGTGTAATCTTCTGTACTACGAGCTTTTATTTTTAAAATTTTAAAATTCTTTTTTATTTAAAAAGTTATATTTCAATATACATACAGTATGTATAGTTAATTTTAACGTTCGCAACTATACAAAGGTTATTTTTTTATTCTAGCGTTGTATAAAAATGAAATTATTTTATAATTTTTATTAGGAATTTTCTTTTAAAAAGTTTTTTATTTTTATTTAATGCAATTGTAATACAATATTAATGTAAGTATTAATTATATTTATTAATGAGAAATCTGGTAAAAATGCGTAATTCACTTAACTAGTGATAAGTATAAACGTTTGTGATCGTTTTGTCCGTCCATTTACTGTGCAATGTATTATATATGTGCCTTTTAGGTTATTTTTACATAAATTATATTTATATAGACCTTATTGTCGACCACTTTAAATCACGCTGTGTATAGCTTGAATAAAATGAATTTTAAAATGTAATCGTTTTATTTACGCTTTTAAATTTCGGAGACTTGTGCGTCCTATAACCCACAAAGTGAAAATTTACTAAAGAATAGTGGGCCAAATGCGAGTCTATTTCACTTCTACCCGATCGTCACGGTGACCGCGTTCGGCGCTACGATTGGCCCGCACTGAGGGCCAAGTGCTAGTTTATTGTACATCTACTCGCCCTCGATGGCGAGCGTGTTTAGCGTTGCGATTGGTGGAGATTTCAGTGCGGGCCAATCGTAGCGCCGAACGCGGACACCGTGACTACCGGGTAGAAGTAAAATTAAATCGCACTTGGGCCTCTGAAATCTACACCAATCGCAACGCTAAACGCGCTCGCCGTCGAGAGCGAGTCGATGTCAAATGCACTCTGCCCTCTATTTGATTTTCTGTGACGCTGTGGTTTCACTCGGGTCGCACTTCGCCTTCCGCCCAGTTGTGCTGAAGAATGGCTCTTTCGTTGGCTTTCACCGAGTGAGTGAACATGCCTTCATTCTGAAGGAGGGGGTGCGCTCAAAGTGTAAGATACAGATCTGTCATGTGAATAAAAAGAACCACACAATAGTCATAGGTTTAATTATAATAATATGTAGATATTTTACAATAAACATTAAAATAGTTATATCGATAATATAGCTAAGGCATGAGTCGATAATCGATAAGAATAGAAAACTAGGTTACAGCATTAACAGGCACCAGGGACTTCCTTTCTAGGGTATACCTGGTTCCCCGGCTATTAGTACCCGAGACGGCGTGCGGTTTTAGTCGGTTCGAGTCCGACATGCCACCGACATATGGTATCCGAGGAGATTTCCGCACGGAAAAAAAAAAAAAAAGGTTAGAGCATTAACAAAAAAAATGTGAATGTTATTTGGCGACATAAGTAATTAGCGCCATCTATACAAAATACTATGAACTACTTCGTAACTACAACCTCTGCCATCTTGAATAATTTGGGTTCACTCCACCACTCCACTCATGGGCATTGGATGTCACTGTCTATCAGGTAACCCGTCTGCTTGTTTGCCCCACGAAATGAGAATGGGAATGAATATACCTTTTTTTTGTTCGGAAATCCCCTCCGATACCAGCTAAGGGTGGGGTGGTTATGTCGGACTCGAATCTACTAAAAACAGCACGCTGTCTCCGGTACTAAGAGCCGGGAACCAGATGAACTTTAAAAGGACATCCCTGATACCCCTACGGACGGGATGAATATACCTAGGAAAAGATAGGTACCCAATATAGTTAGCATAATAATAATAACTGGACACAAATTACACGCGGCCGTCTAGTCCCAAACTGGGCTGAGCCAATATAATGCTGATGATGATAAACATACTTACATATATATTTCTAAATACAATATAATATTTTAGAGCGATCATCATACAATATTTGTACTGCATGGAAATCGAAACCACGACCTTTGATTTTGAAGACAGCATGAGTAATCACTACTACCCGACTACTCACTGAATTTGCCCTAGTGTTTCGTGACTCGTGACACTTCTAAAAACACTAGGTCAAAATACAGAAATATAAGAATACAATTAAAGAAATATCTAGTGTAATTAATATTTTAACTGCTGTTTGCCCCCCTAAAAAAAACTAAACATGAAATACAAAACTTGTAAACATTGTTATTATAAGCTTTTCAAACAAGCAAGTTTTGGCATATTTTCATTCTAGTAAAGCGCCATCTATTAGTCAATGCCTAAGACATTGACTACAATAATGCATTAGGCATTTGTTATTCCACAAAAATAAATAATTATATTAATATATCACGCTGGGACTTCAGAGCAACTTCAACAGCTACCCGACTGACAAAGAAGAGTAGAGAGTAAAGAAGAGCCAAAGAAGAAGAGAGATTGAGAGTGTATGTGTATAAAAGCAAGAACTAGGTTTTACCCGCGGCTTTACTTGCTATCTCAAAGTAATGTTTCGAACCTTCGGGTACAGTACCACTTCTGTACCTTTGACAAAGGCTATGACTAAAGAAATCTAAGGCGTTAAAGCATAGATATCATACAAATAAATTCACTGTTACTATATTGTGTTAGTTAAGATGTTTAATTCATTGTAACGCTCTTCTAAACTATATAATAATAATAATAATAACATTTCGGACATCTGACACACAACGCCATCTAGTTTCAAAATAATCAGAGCTCGTACTATGAAAGAGATAGATACTAGATTAACTGATAGAATACTTATATACTTTTGTTTGTAAATACATGCATATTATACATGGAAAACACCCAAACTCTGAAACAAATATTTGCAGACCATACAAACATTTGGTCCGACTCGGGAATCGAACCCGAGACCTCAGTACAGCAGTCGCATACGCTACCACTGCACTGACTGACTCAGTATAACTTTATTTTATGTAGTTTTTTTTTAATAGGCTTACTAGCAACCGAAATTACTAATCCCGTTAAACCCTAAAGCTAAGCTAAATTGCATGTGTTAGGAATGGGTTCACGTCGGTGTTGATTCGAACCTATGACCTCTTGATCGCAAGTCCAATGCCTTAGCCACTAGGCTACCGCCGCTTAATAATTTCGTTACATCAATTTAATTTTCATAATCAAGTTTGTTATTCTATTGTGAGTGAACGTGATATGATAAGGTACGCACATTCGCACACACTACCACTGCACCACCGACTCTCTGTTGGCACCGAGGGTCTGTATAAGATATATCCCCACATCAGATGTCATTTGTCTCATTTGTAGGAGTTATTTTTACCAAATTCTCTGTTGGCATACAACATGCATGATAATCCTATCCAATCTCGAATTCCTGTTCGGTTTAGTAATCTGCTATCCTCATTTTCTTCTGCTGTTTATCGTCCTTAGCCGATGTGTCTGGGGCCTCGCAAACACAAATATCTGGACGTGTTCCAGCAGTGTACGGCGGGGCACACTTAGGTCCACACATATTTCGAGCTTCTCTTCCATTACAGGGCAGCAAGCGACCTGGTCTCACTGTCAGGTCAACTACATAGTTAGCTCGAAGCAGGCCCGCGGGAAAGTTCTCCACCTCCGTGTCTACCTCCTATAGACATAAAATGATAATGTAATAATGTATTTCTCTAACCAGTAATTGTATATGAAAAAGTTCTATATATTAAACTAGATGACCCGTGCGTCTCTCAAAAGAAAAAAAAAAGTTTTTGCAACATTTTTGCTCGGCTCCTATTGACGGTAGCGTGAAGTTATATACCTAACCTTCTAATAGATAGGCTATCCAACACTTAAATCTTTTTTCAATTTGATCCAGTAGTTCCTGACATTAGCGCGTTTAACCAAATAAACAAACATAAACACTTTAGCTTTATAATGTTAGTAGATACATTAAACACACACAACAAAAAGTTTTGAGACAAGAAAGGCGTTTTTTGTATCTAAATTTTAAAATTCTCATACAAAAAAACGGAGAATTTTGCAGCCCTCATTGACAGTGTAGGTGTGTGAAATCTTGATAATAGAAGGAGACACAATACCGGTTCAATTTCAGGTACAGCGACTTCACACCACGCGTAGGAGCTAGTGGTGCGATGCAGCGCACACGGCACCCCCAGACGATCCGCCAGCACTTTGTACAGTATCGCCCTCTCTAAGGCACCGCCGCATTTCACCCAGCCTATGCCTACTACTGGTGAATTTAACTCAATCTGAAAACAATGTAGTCGCTCTATAACGTTAATGTTAATGTCAAGTATTATTTATTGTGCTTCGTAATAGCAACGAGTGTCGACGTTTATTGGTTACGGTTTTACTTACTTAGACCAATGGCTCGAAGGACTAAATCATCATCATCATCAGCCTATCGCAGTCCATTGCTGGACATAGGCCTCTCACACTACACGCCACTTAGATCGATTTTGGTCTTCTCGCATCCAGCCTGCCAGCTATCTTGTCACCAAATCGTCAATCCACCTGGCCTGTCCTACACTACGTTTACCGAGACGCGGTCTCCACTCAGGAACTCGTTTTCCCCAACGGTTATCGGTTCTGCGGCTAATATGGCCAGCCCACTGCCACTTCAGCTTGCTAAATTGTTGTTGAGGACTAAATAGTTGAGCACAAACTCATATTATTGAAATGCCTTTTTTTTTGACGGGGTGGCGAATCCCTTCGGATCTCCTGCTCCTCGGGGCTAGGAGCTAGGAGTTTGTGGTGATTTCACTAAAAACCACCCCGACGGCCGTCCTCAGATGCCCTACTCTTACTTACTCTCAGAAATGCCTAGTAGCTGGTTGTTAGTTTAAAATACATTACGATTAGTTTAATGATTTTTGTAGTTTCCACTTTTAGGAGTCGGATAAAAAATTATCGCATGTCGAGTACATGCGATAATTTGAGTCGTTTTTTAAATATTTTGGGTCAGACAAGATAAGAATTTCATAAGATGCAAAAACGCCTGTTTATCATGATTGAAACAAATATCAGGCAGATAATCTGAGTATGGATTTGGAAGGTTTAAAACTAGGCAAAGACCGAAGAAAAGATGAGAAGTTTAAAAAAAAGTGTGAGAACTATCTCTCATACCTACTACATAAAAGAAGTAAGTGACAAATAAAGTGTTAGAAATATTTATATTCATGTCATATACCATTAAATCAGTCAAATGCAAGCCGACACTAGGCAAGGAGCAATCTTTTTCTTGTGTGAGTCCACTCATATTTTCGGCAACAAACTCGGCCAACATCCGCGCCTTTTGTTTCAACGATGTTGAAACTTCGTCGCATTTGTCTCGATATCTGATCATTTGAATAAAAGACGTCACACATTAGGATTATACCAAGCACAAAATAGTCGACGACGCAAAAACGACGGGGTGTAGACATCGTAGCCCCCGAACAGATAAACAGATTTTGATTTTTTATTTAAAAGGTGAATTTGGCGGGAGTTTTCTCAGCCATGTTTGATGAAAATCGGTCCAAGATGGCCGCCGCCCCTAAATGGCGAATTACATATTTTTTCACAACTCCCTCAATACGGGTATCAAATGAAGGGGCTTGACTAGTAGAATACTATACAATATGGCAAATTTAAAATCAAAGACGTGTGTCGGGGGTTTTTTAATTATTATTTTTTTAATTTACAGTATATAGGGCAAGTGAGTAGAGCGGTCATCTGATACTGAGCGTCTAGCGCCTCACATAGAAACATGCAACTTAAAAATTACAAGAGCATTCCTGCCCTAAGTGTCTTCAAAATTTTTGGAATTGGGATGTTCCGGTAACTATACTCACTTGATGAAAAGTAACAAAACCATTACTTAACACACTTGGTTTTCTACGAGGCCGTGGTTTCAGTCCGATCGTGCCAGCTCATGTGTGCGCGAAAAGCATATTACACGTAATCTTAATGTTCTAAACATTTTTTTATGGAAGAGAGGATGAATTAATTATATGGGCAAACAAGCAGACGGGTCACCTGATGGAAACCGACAGCCCATGAACGCCTGTAGCTCAGGAGTCACAACCAGCCTTTGAGGAAGGAGTACGCTCTTTCCTTGAAGGTTTAGAGGTCGTATCGCTAAAATATCGCAGACGACCGATAACCTACTTTTGTATTTGACTAATAAATAAATACCTAGGTGTTGTTTACCTGACTTCATAATGCGCATGTTCTATTTCGATATAATGCAAAGATTTCATTCTGAAAAAGAAGAACGTTTACACAATTAACGTTTTATAATTTATTATCTATAAAAATATAAGCGGTCTTTGTAATCGTAATATGTCAATTATATGTGTAGATATACTTAGGAATGTGTTAATATAAGCCCTTTCAAGTAAGTTGTATGTATAATTGTTAGCCGAATTACTTTCTAACTACAAATTCTTCATTACATTTATTCATCTATCTCACATCTATCTATAGATATATTTATTACCGTATAATTGTAAAAATTCTGTAATCCGACATTCCTCAATAATTAGTTTATATTTTTAAACACAAAAGGATTCTCTTCAAATTAATTTTGTATTTTGACGTTTATAGTTTCAAAGTCCACAATAAAAAAAATACACTAACGGATCACCAAACCACAACTTAAGCTTGAGAAGATAGTTTCTTAAGTTCACGTCATCAGGCAACGCTGGGATGTGCCTGCTGGAATGACTCGCCACTAAATTTGGCTCTGGTGGAGGATCTGTTAATGAATATCATAATATTAGCATTGAACACAGATGTTAATAAGTAAATTTTTACACATCGTGCGATTGAATAGAATGAGAATTAGATAAAACCGTCAATGAATTGATTAATTCCGTCTTTGCATTGCTGCTATTCTTGTACATCAGAGTCGAAAATGTTTTCTTCACACTTTATATGTTGTTAGTAAAAATCCTCCCTCACAAAGAGTTGGCTGTCATTAGATTATGTTTAGATTAGATTAATAAATCTCCAGGAAATAAATACATACTGGATGTTTATATCTTTATATTCTTTAAGTCGTTTTGTCGCTATGAAATAATATCTAAGCTTGGCTTTGGCTGCCTCGGTGGCGCATGGTTCAATTCCCGGGTCAGACCAAATGTTTATACGCTCTGCAAATATTTGTTTCGGAGTTTGTGTGTTTCCTATGTATGATGTGATGTATAATATGTATGTATTTACAAAAAAAAGTATATAAGTATTATCTCGACCTAATAATTGATAACAAATTCAACTGGCGACCGCATATAGACTATGTTTGTAATAAGTTAAGAATAATATTATCGAAAATGTCTCTGCTCAAATTCAAATTACCATTTCACACTCTGAGCATGTTATATAATGCATTGGCAGATTCTATAATAGGATACGGTCTTAGTAGTTATGGTAGAACATATAATACATACATAAATGATATCTACAAATTACAAATAAAATTATTGAAAACGATAGTGCCTTTAGCTATTAGAAATAAATTCAGGAATCATACTAACAAGTTGTATACACTGTAAAATCATAAACATATACAACAAGATAAAGATGTACATTATCTGTGATGAAATTGAGAACGTAGCTTCATTAAAATTAAGGATAAGATTAAATAACCTACGTAGCTTGCCATATTTACCAAGGTATGTACTACCATCTTACAACAGCATGTATGGCAAGCGTTGTTGGCAATATGTTGTACCACAACTACTTAACGAACTAAAGAACAACATTGTGGATAAACTCTCGGAGAATCCGCGGAAATGTAAAACGCTTCTCAAAAAAGTTTACCTTACAGAGGAATGAGAAAACTTTATAAATATTTATATATATATATATATATATATATATATATATATATATATATATATATATATATATATAAAATTATGTATAAAAGGAAAAAAATAATAATAATAATAATCTGCAATGTACTACATACAAAGCGAGTGATGGCAGTGATACATAAACCACCTGTGGTTTTCTTCACTGTTACTGTATTTACATGAACTGCAACTAACTAACTAATTTAAAAAATATATATATCAGTCAATCTAGCTTTCATAGTACAAGCTCTGCTTAGTTTGAAACTAGATGGCGTTGTGTGTAAGATGCCCGAAATATTATTATTATTATCAAATAAGTAATTGTATCGCGCACTTTATGAATATGCACCTAACAGACAAATGGTTAGATTGTGTCCATCTTCTCATCTCAACAGCATATCTGAAGGGCGAGATCTAGATAGATCTTTTTGAAGTGATACTTCTTCAGAATCGTTGTGATTTGTAACTCGATGAAACGAAAATGCGTCACGATAAAGAAACAAACACATAAATGTATAGGATTAAGTCGGCAAGAGAATGAGATAGAATGCATTACACTTTATTTAAAATATATCATTATTTAATACTAGCTGATACCCGCGACTTTGTTTGTGGGAATTTGAAAAACGCTGCCTTAGTTCGATTTCCAGGCCAGGCAAAATTTTATAGGGTTTTTCTGAGATAAAAATAAAAAGTAAATTAAAGATTTTTTTTTTCGGAAGTTTCACTTCTCCCGTGTGTGAATTGCACACAAACACACTTTAGAGCTGAATAAATAGAACAAATAGTTGAATAAATAAAACAAAGAAACAACAGAATTAACACTGAGTACAGAATTTCTACTTCAAGTAAGTAAAATAGGTTTCTTTTATGTTTCACTCACCATGAGGCGTTCTAATATCAAGTGCAGAAGCATCCCACTGTGCTGGATGAAACATACAGACGTACACAGGCTCCCAGGGTAGGCGTGGCTTAGTTTCTGCCTCTTGTAGCGTGGGGAATCGCTTACCCAGACGCTTGAAGCAGTAAAAACCTTCCTGGTAAAAAACAGTAGGTATACCACTAGATATATTATCATAACTAAACATTCTAATCCATAAAACAAATACTAAAAAATTCTTTATTGCAAAATTATCTTCATAATTTTAAATCATATGTTAAAACAGAACAACTTGCAAAACAGGAATGACTTTCGGTGAAGCAATAGCAGTGCAAATCAGTTGAAGTCAGAACTTGGGTATGAAAAAATTCTGAAACTTTAAATACTAATGGAGTTCTTTGATTGATAACTTGAAAACGTGTTCAAATTGAAATTGTTTAGTTGCTAAACTGACTGAGTAACTTGTTACTTACTGAAGTGAAATCGTTAATGTCAAGTCTGCCTGTGTACGCCAACTTAGCAGACGGGTGATGTCTAAAGATGGCTTCTATCGCAGGCTCCCACGCGCCCACCACGTACCTAGCTTGTCTGTTTTCAACCATACTAAGAATACGAGGATTAGTTATTCAACAAAAAAGCATTAAAATATAAACCTTACGATAAACAAGAAAAGCTTTAAAGTTAAATGAAGTCGGGGGGGGGGGGGGGGGGAACATATTCATGAAAATTGGTTCAATTAAAAAAAATATTGATGAACTATTTGTTTGGTCCTTGCAACTTTTTGCATCTGGGATAGTTTGTGTGTGGATTGTTCATCACTTTTTTTTAATTGAACCAATTTTGATGAACATGGAAACCTCCATCTTTAGGTGGAGTTCAGTGACATTTTCACGTAATAAAAAAATACGGCATATAGATATATAAAGAAATACGGCATGTGTTTAAGTAGAGTAGACAAAATTACACCGATGTCATTGTAGTCTGATATTCTATAGCAGGGTCTTCTTTCCTAGGGTACACCTGGTTCCCCGGCAACTGGTACCCGAGACGGCGTGCGGTTTTTGGTCGGTGGGTGGTATGGCAGGGCATTTCGACACGGAAAAAAAAGGTCTAATCCCACGCTAAGATCTTGGCCAGTCACATTAAAACTTTTCACAATGAAAGCGCTTTTCAAATGTACCCCATTTGCCGCACCCCGAATAGAGTCGTAATCACTGGGTACGAAAGTTTTAATAATGAAATAAATTAAGTGTTGAAACAGCATTTTGATTTATCCACCTTTTATTCTTCTGATTGGTAAGTTAACCCTAAGGAATAGTAAGGCTAAAACGTATACCAACAAGAGAAACAAATTGGTCTTACTAATGTATGGCTCCCAGCTCCAAATACATATCGGCTCCCTCGTCGGTGACGCTCGCTGTAATTAACATACACAAAGCTGTCCGGAGCCCCACGTGTTCAATAGACAGATTGCTGGCAACCACCTAAACAGACATTTTACCTACTTAGTGCAAAATAGCATGGCAACTCGTGTAGCGATGATAGTTGGTTTTGGAATCGAGTTCTCACTCGGTGCACATAAATCTGCACGGATGGCGTAGTGGTTTAAGTGGTCGCCACGCCGCTTCCTACTACGCTGAGTGTTGTGGGTTCAAACCCCACATGGGACGACACTTTATGTGATCCAAAAATTGTTGTCCTGAGTCTGGGTGTTCTTTGTGTCCGTTTCATGTATGTTTGTAAAGTCTCCCGAAACACAGGAATATATTCCTAATGGGGGCGTTGTCTTTTTAAGAAGAAAAAAAGAGTATCTATTTATATAAAGATACAAACCGATTCCCCTTCTCGCTGCGTAAACAGTTCTTTCGCCATATCATTAACCATTAGTCCAGTGAGGGCTGTGCAAGTCATTATCTTCAAACAAATATCGATGCGCTAGAATATAAGATACTCATTGAAAAACATAAATAAATAATGTAATAATTCGAACTGAAAAAAGTTGCGGAATAATAAATTAAGAAGTATTAAAGTTCGGCACGGTTTGATCTGCTGCAGGCATATCGATAAGCCACAACTTTTAGAAGATAAATGATATTTATCACTGTGAGCAAATCTTTTCAGATATTTTTACATGTCGGACTTACAGCTAGATTTCATTTACATTTCATAAGACACACACTCTAAACATACCACAGAGGTGTCCTTTTTTTAGTCTATAAACAATGTTAAAGAAAACTGTGCGAGTACAGTGTAGAGCCTGGGTTGGCCTTTTGAAGAAAATACCATAGTTTTGAGTCAGCCTGTCCATACAGACGGTTTAGATGGCTGAGGGCCCATCTGCCGAGATGGGCCCCCAGCCATCTAAACCGATATTAGTCAAGATCAAGGACCCAAAGCGCGATACTAGCGCCAACAGAACATTTGAGTAGGCCATGGAAACACTCAAAATCATCAGAAAGTTATTAAATATGAAGAATCTGGAGTAACGTGTTTTTTTTTTTTTTTTTTTTTTTTTTCTTATATCTTATAGCAAGTCATCATAATCATCATCAACAGCCTATAACAGTCCACTGCTGGACATATGCCTCTCCTTAGAAAGGAGGTTTTGGCCTAATATGCCACGCTGGCCAGACGGGTTGGTATAGGGTTTGTTTCAAGTTTTCCTTCTCTTTGCAGTGCTGTTGTTCTGCGTAGTTTGCTCCCTCAGTCGACTCTTACGACACCCAAGGGATGAATAAGAGTCGTGACATTCCGTATTCTTAATCTGTCACCACACGGACTAGCAAGTGCGCAATGGTATTGTATCATAAAGTGATGTATGCTAATAGAATACGATAAAAAACAACAACAACAAACCTGTAAAATATTCAGTAGTTCTTGCATAAAATCTCCGTTAAGCATGGCTTTAGTGCTGACGTGGTAGTTCAGTAAGTTAATGTACACTTGTACGGCCAAACGCTGAGCTTCTATGGGGGTATCCTTAACTGGAGAAGATAGACATTTACACATTACGCATGATTTCCGAACCTAACCTAATCTCGGCAACACTTTTGTGACTTCTAAGTTGCAGACGTTCATGGGCGGCGATGGTCACTTTGAATCAGGAGACCCGTCTGCTCGTCTGCCCCTCTAACATAAAAAAAAAAACTAACACGTTAGAGAGCCGTTCTTCGACAGACAAAGCCCGGCTCAACCGGAAAGATACCCTGACCTAACATAAACACCGGTTTTCTGTTAAGCAATTCTTTAATTGCTTTTTACCGACTAAATGAGGTCACCGGAGCCTAACCCCCTTTCCTCGCACTGAGTTACTGCACTCTGGGAAGAGGGGACTCACTTCTTACTCTTGATTTACAGCTGTTCATAGGTAGCCACATACCGTCAGGTAACCAGTCTGTTCTTTTGCCTCCCTATACTAAAAAAATATTTAAAAAGACACCCAGATAAACATCAGCCTGGTCTTAGAACGTTTGCATGGCTTAAGACTACGATTAGACAGCTCGTTTTTCTACTAATTTTTAAGTTTACTTCGAAAATTTTTACTTTTTAATAATAAAGCGTCTTTCCTTAGACGCAAAACGAAATTAAGGGTGTAACTTGTGTATCTGAGTGTCTGTTTGTGGCATCACAACTCCTAAGCGGGTGGATCAATATGAATTTAGTTCTCTATAAAGGTGACTTGATAAAGTGCTCTTTTGCTTTGCAATTGAAAAAAAAAATGTTTTCAGCCGTTTAAAAAGTATCCTAATAGTCATGAATGATGATAGATGTCAGGTAAACAAGGATTTTTAAGTCAGATATATTTTAAATTTTAAATTTTAAATTGTTGGATAAAAACTAAATAAGATCTTCTAAACAACTTTAAGCATAAGCCATACATTTCTTATTGATATTCCTGAGAGCTGCGAAAGTCTTCGGTTCCACGAGGCTGAAAGCTGCCTTTGGAATAATGCGACACAGCTCTGCTAGGGCTCGTAACGAATTAATCCTGATGTAAAACCAAACTGCAGCATCATCTCCTAAGATAGCTGCAATCCAATATATTAGATAGAGTATTTATATTTTCATAGAAAATAAGTATTTATATAAGTATCTATAGAAGTGACTGCGGATGGCACAGTGGTGGTAGCGGACTGCGTTGAGTGTCCTGGGTCAGCGCAGTGCGCAGCGAGCTGGTCCGGCACCGGCATAACATCGATATTTGTTTCTATGTGGAGCCATGTTTTGTTCTTCTTTTACTGATAGACCTCACTTCACCTCACTCACTAAATGTCGTTATAGCCTACTAATATTTTATTTCTGACTAATAATTCGACCCATTTCGCAAATTAAAAGTTTTTATTTACTTGAAGGTCTTTTGTATCAAATAATAACATCGCTTTTTTTTTTCGAAAATCCCTTCGGATACCACCTATCGGTGGCATGTCGGACTCGAACCGACTAAAACCGCACGCCGTCTCGGGTACTAATAGCCGGGGAACCAGGTATACCCTAGAAAGAATAATAACATCCCTAGTTTTTATTTAAAATTTGTCAATGCCTAAGTTTTTCCCAAATCTTAATTAAAGAGGCTAGTACTATGGCGCTGTAGGATCAAGAAACATCGAGTCATCGTGTGAAAATTTATACTTTAGTAGAAAAGTTCCAAATGCATGTATGTATGCATTTGGATATATGCATATATCGATAAAGATAGAATGATTACCACATAGTGCTTCTATTATATTCGTATCAGACATGCGAACAGCTGAAGGTAAGAGCTTCGTCATATTGGCCACACCCATTGCGGCATCCGCTAGCAGCTCCACGTTGGAACTGAGCAGTTGATGGCAAAATACCAGATCTGTACCCGTTTCATATAGCGCCTGAAACATTATGTGAATTTCACATATACTGAGTGTGCAATCAGTCATCAAAACAGGCAAGTTCAACAGTATCTCCGGTTGAATACAGGTAGTAGAAGATAGGAAAAACACGTTTGATTTAGCATACAGCTAAATTTGTGCATGTAAAAGACAAATATAAAGTTGTATGTTAAATAGAACGTTAGCTCTTGGAAAATAGAGTTGATGTTTACTTCTCAGGATAATTGAACTTACGTCTTTTGTTTACAAAAGAAAGAGATAATTTCGTAACTCTTCCTCAAAATCGGAAATGCCTAGAAATGCCAATGTTTTCTATGCGACTTCTACAATAGTTGCATGAAGGAGACGAAAACTATAATAAGGGCTGTTGTTGTTGAACCTCAACCTGTTGTTGTTGAAATCTTTTTCTTAATCCTTGATCATAAAATGAAATGATCCAACTTACATCTCTACCATTGTTACTAAAAGACATCTTAGTCAGTACAGCTAGACAGCAAGGCTTCATTGCCGGTAGCGCCATCTCTAAGTAAGCCAGCAGCCTTAATATACACCCTGACTGAAACACGTGATGGGCATTCTCTTCTGTCTCCACATAGTTGCGAAGAACGCCCAGAACAAGCGTATGGACGTCACGAAATTCGTAAGACTGAAATATAATGGAACATAAAAAAAATGTTTCTTTTAACTGAGCAGAGACAATGAAGGTACTTTAAGGGTACAAGAGAAATTCGACATTTAAGTTAACCTATTGCAATAGACATCAGGCTGTATTAGGTAATTTATTTTAAAATGGGATTACATATATTTTGGCAGTAGCTAAGGGTTAGCTGCAATGCCTTAGCCTAATTTTTAAAGCAACAGAGCTAAGTTCTTGAATAGTATCGAACTCCACTCAGTACCTTACCAACGAGAATTAAATTCGAATGCTGCAAATTACATCTAGTTAATTAGGATCAGTTAATGATATTATTAATCTCTCTCAGCGATAGTAAGTAGAGAGACGTGGAATTGAAAACATGTTTTGAGCAAAGTCAAAACAAAAAAGTCAAAACAAAACAAAAGTAATATTTAGGATATTTTGCTAATAATATTTGTCACGGGCATATACTTTAACGGGTGTTTGTAAGAATGCTATTCTCCATCTAAAAGGAGATATAACGGACAGTATACGAGCACACCTAGGTGACCTTTAGAGCTCAGAATCTGCGCCTTTTCAATTCTGGGCTCCAAATATGCAATCCCATTCGAAAATTGCTCTTGACCCTTGAGATAACTTTCAAGGTTGAGATCAAGGTCAATTTTAAGGTCACCAATAGATAGCCAAGGCAAATTCCTGTAACTTTTGTATTTAACGTATTTCCGAAAAATGCATACCTAGCGAATTATTCTGATGTTCAAACACTGACCTCAAGAATATCACAAAGATCAAGTACGCCCGTTGAAGCTCGGAAAGTCTTCTGGACATTTTGGTCTTTATATCTGCAGATTAATTGGTCAACAGTCCTTAGAGCTGCATGCTGAATAGCCAGGTATTTGCTTTGCATCAAAGCTAGTGGTGAAGGCCAACTGAATTGCTGGTTCTTTGTGACCTCGGAGGCGCACACCGGATCATCCAGGAGGTTGCTTAAAGTCTTGGGGGAAAAGAAAAAAGGTGATTTTCGTTTTTGCTGTGTAAAAGTACTTATTTTGAGAGTTGTGCATCAGGATTTAGCTATTATCTAGTTATTATCATCCGTTCAAATTTTGTTTATTGTATTTTCGATGTAATATTTTGATAGACAATTAATAGTGTGACAACTTCCACAACCAAGAAAATTTACTGCAGTGCATTTTAACAAGGACATACGGAGCTACGGAGTGAATGCTAATCTTGTATCGTGATATGAAAAGTTTTCACGCCGATTAGCATTTATTCAACTTTCCAACATCAATGGTTGGGCTGCGGCCTACCAGCAAGGATAATTATCTCTTTGGTCGGAGGCGAGATGATCATGCCTAGCTCTCTTGCATTTTGAATTGCATCTATGAATTTCATTGATAGCACATATATTGATCTAGATTTTACAGAATGGCTTTCATTAGAAGGCCTACCTGAAAATCTAGTTTATTAAATCGAAAAGTTTTACATCAATATCGTTAATTTATACTTTTTCTTAAGTTACTAGAGTAAATTTCATTTTAATGTGTCATAATTTTTTTCTTTTTTTTTTCTTTAAAAAAGACAACGCCCGCATTAGGAATATATATTCCTGTGTCGCGGGGGACTTCACAAACATACATGAAACGGACACAAAGAACACCCAGACTCAGAACAACAATTTGTGGATCACACAAAGTGTTGTCCCATGTGGGGTTTGAACCCACAACACTCGGCGTAGTAGGAAGCGGCGTGGCGACCACTTAAACCACTACGCCATCCGTGCAGTCAATAATTTGAACATGTCCATCCTGTTTACCTGCAAACAATTCTTCTGGACATCCGGATCTAAACTGTTTTTCATTCTTGAGAATAAGCTACCCAAAATGTTTGCAGAAACCAACTGTTCACATCCGAGTGGCTCTCTAGTCAGTTCGGCTAACACTAAAGACGCAAATTCTAAAACAAAAACATCTTCACTCTGAAATATAATACAAGCAACGTGAATTCATCAATTTAATTTGTAAACTGTACGTTGTACGCTAATATGCTGAATTACTCAAAGTAACAAACAAAGTAATTATTATTTTTTGAGCAGATCAGTTCAGATGCATTCAACTTATTGAAAATAGAATCAAGCATACTAAACCAACGGGTTTTACCTTTTCTCCTTTTAGTCTTTTGGCAGTTTTATCTATAAGGTTATAAATGAAGTAAAATGCGTAAAATCTTGCGTTTATAAACCTTTTTTAAACGTAAATGTTCTAAACTGCTGACGTTGGTAATAATATACGTAAATAGTGAATGTATTAATTTCAAATTCTTTTCCTTAAAAGCGATAGGCAAATAAGCGATAGAAAAAGCAACAGAAGCCTAACCTTCTGCTATGCCCGACAGAGTCCATAATGGTTTTGTATTTTTATATTTTTAAGACCATTTATAGACCTTTACCTATGAAATTGCCGTTTTGTATGCAATAAGTGAAAGTTTTTTTTTTTTTAACTTTTTTATTTCTGTTATTCGAAGTAATCACCCATGCAATCGACGCATCTTTGCCAACGCATTGGCAGTTTATTGATGCCCTTCTTGTAAAAATCAGCTAGACGGGAGGCAACAAACTCTTCAAAGGCATTTTGTACTGCCTCTCGGGAATTGAATTTTTTACCCACTAAAAAGTTGTCTAAATTTTGGAAAAAGTAATAGTCGGTAGGTGCAAGGTCTGGTGAGTACCAAGCAACCAGCTTTGGTCAATCGGTCGTCCCCACTGCTCCTTCACGACAACGCGCGACCCCATACTGCGCAACAGACAGTCTCCAAGCTGCAAGAGCTGGGGTTGGAAGCTCTTCCTCATCCGCCATACTCAATAATTAAGTAATTAAATAAATTTCATAGGTAAAGACCTAATATGTACATCATGGGACGCCATAAATGATTGAGTATGAGTGAAAAAGTACGAGATCCGTTTTTGGTTGTTACATCTTCGTACCATCCAAAATCCAATTAATTACGTGGACATTGGAGTGAAGCCTATGTTATGGGGGCCACAAGATGTACATATAATGGACACACATCTCTCTCTCTCTCTCTCTCTCTTTTTCTCTCTTCATGAACATCGACTTTAGTAGTTCAAACGCTACGCTAAAGGTATTTAAATACGAACGTAAAGTAAAATCTGTTAAGAACGTTAGCTCTTGCTTTTGGCTTTGTCATATTAGGATATAAGTAAAATTAATAGATATATTATTCACTTATGTACCTTCACGAGCAGGTAAGTAATATTCCTCAAATTCTGAGGGTCCTGTAGTACTTGTTCAGGGCCTTTGGGCAGCTGGCAAAGCTGTGCCAGAGCTTTGAGTGCGAACCTTCTTATATTAAGCTCATTGTGAGTTACGTGTTTTAAAATATATTTGATGGCGTTTAGATCGTACAGGACTTGGCGGTTTTGCATCTCCTGAGCCGAAAATTTCGTTATTGCTCGAAGTGTCTAGAAAAATACACATATTAAGTAGTAGAGAAGTAAAATTATATGATTTTTAAGGTGTACAAGGAAAAAATGTATTGTGTGTACTAAAATCATAAGATGAAAATGTAAGGCCGTGTATACCACAATTAACAGCTTCTTCATTTTTCTTCGTTCTTGCCAAAACTAATACAGTTTGTAGATTAGAAATTATACTTTAGCCTATTGCTGTCCACTGCTGAACAAAGGCCATCCCCAACGAGCGCCAACCATCCTTACGAAATTATATAAATTAAAAAAAAGTATCAACGCCAAATCCAATATGCCTGCATAACAGTAAATTGTTATTAACTGTAATCTTCATTGAATTGATTTTCCATTATTAGGGGTAGTATTTCATTTGAAAATTGAATGAGACCAAATAAGGTTTTATAAAATAACAAAAGAAAATTTCTCCGTAAAATCAGTTTATAAATGACAGAGTTTTTTGGAAACAAATTTATAAAGAAATATATATACAGCCGAACTGTGAACCTCGTAATTTTTTTTAAATCCATTAGAAAGATAAAAACATAGATCTGTCAACATCTATAGGACAGGCAGATTTGTAGATTCTTAGATATAAATTAAGCGTGTCGTTAGTAATACTACTAGTATACGTATTATCTGCAAACGCGAGCCCTCCCCTCAGAATAGGAGAAGGAAGATTTGGGATCCGGTGACCAACTTGGTGAAAGCAACGAAAGAAGCTTTGAGACATTGACGAACGAAAACAGTTTTTTAGTGGTGCTAATTTCGAAAAGTTACGTTCACATATTGCGTTTGATATCATCAGACAATCAGACTTCTGTATATTTGGAATGCTGTTAATGACAACTCATTACTTTCGGGAAAATTGATTGTGCCCAATCATAAAAAATAATTTAGACAATTCCCCGGCAGTAAGAAATCGAGATAGATTTCTAATCTAATCCAAATAATTAATATCCCGAGAAACTTCTAGTCGACGCGACAATTCTGTATACAGAATGTCTAGTAGAGATAAATATGTTTCAAACTTGAACTTATCTTTTCGTTAGTCACAACTTTGCCTGCAGATCCGTCATCGTGATGCGTTTTAAGGGTTCCGTACCTCAAGAGGAAAAAACGGAACCCTTATAGGATCACTTTGTCTATCTGTCAATACACTTTATCGGACACTCGATGAAGATCAACGGGAGAAATCGCTTAATAATTAACACCAGATTTCTGTGAGGTCGTGGTTTTTCGCCGGGCAAGCCGGCCCCTAGGCATGTGACGAAGCCTGGTTCTCAAACGGTGTTAAAGTTTTAACATTATTTTCCAAACACAAGCTCACGAAATGTTGTGTGTGTCATTTGTTCTGTCATGGTGTAATTTATCTTTACCTATTTAATATGTATGTATTTAAACTATGTACCTCAGTATGTTTATCAGCAATCTGGTTACCACTATAGTAACCAGACTGCCGATAAATATACTTTCATATTTTTGGCTCTGCCTGGTTTGGGATTAAACTGCCATGTGTGAGATGTGTAAAGTTATTATTATTATTCTCTTTATTACATTATAAGTATTTATTACATTTTTTACTATTAAGTATTATGTTGCTTTTACTTGCTGTCCAATAACCAGTACCATTTTCGTTTACCTGGCATAGTACTTCGCTTTCTGCAGACTCTAAAAGCAAAATAGATGTATGCGCACTCTCCGGTGAAATAGTGTACGCGTGAAAAGTTAAATCTTTCTTCTCAGCCGATCTGTTTTCTCTCTCTTTTTGGAGAGGTTTAGCCATTGTTTTAGCTAGTTAACGTTAACAATTTTATAACAAATAACTTCAAGTCTTAAATAGCCGTAATAAATAATAAATACGCTCCGCTAGCGACAGGTCACTTTGTCAAAATTGACGTTAATGATATTGACTGTTGAAGTTGTTAAAGGAGGCGATAACTTTTATAGTCATATCTTTGTCCCCCAAGGATAAAGGGAAATCTATGTGAATGTGATGTGAACGTGTTCCAAGGTGAAATGAACCCAAAAAATCTGCTTCATTCACCCGGGTGATATCACCCAGGTAAACTTAGTTTCAATATCCGTGTGGTGACGGATTCAGAATACAGAGTGTCACCACCCCTATTCATCGCGTGGGTGTCGTAAGAGCCGACTAAGGGAGTAAACAACGCAGGACAACAGCACTGCAGAGAGAAGGAAAACTTCACACAAACCCTATACGAACCCGTCTGGCCAGCGTGGTATAGTAGGCCAAAACCTCCTTTCTAAGGAGAGGCTTATGTCCAGCAGTGGACTATTATAGGCTGTTGATGTGGAACATAGTTGACTAAACCGTAAAGACAAAGGCTTAGATAATAAACGCAAACATTTTAATTAAGTCTACAAGGCATCCGTATTTTAAACACAGAAGTACCATTATTACGGTTATTATTACTCACCCACCACCTAGGAATACAAAGAATTACATACCTTTTGCTGTTCCCGCGTAAAAATTACTTTCACGTCAATAATACAATAGTATTATATAATTTACAATTGTGTATAATACAAATTTGTATGGGAAGCCGGTTCATATATAACATACTTTCGTACCATGTAAAATATGTTAGTTGCAAGACCTATTGAAAAAACCCAATAATCTTAATAAATAATAGTTTAAAAAACAAAAAAAAACACGCTTGTTGTAACTAGCCGAACTAAAAAGTTGAAAATAATTTTCTTTAAGTAATTTATTAATCAAATCATTTTATTGTAATATATTGACAGATATTGGTAAAAGTGCAGTTATTAATCATAATAACTCAACTTTTACCAATATCTGTCTGTATCTTATCTGTCTGTATGTGTATTTTATATCAATAAAATATCTTAAAAACGCACCTAGTTAGTTACAAAAGCATGTTTTTTTTAACTATTAGGTCTTTACCTATGAAATTGCCGTTTTGTATGCAATAAGTGAAAGTACTTATTTTTTTATTTTTTTATTTCTGTTATTCGAAGTAATCACCTATGCAATCGACGCATCTTTGCCAACGCATTGGCAGTTTATTGATGATTGATTCTTGTAAAAATCAGCTGGACGGGAGGCAACAAACTCTTCAAAGGCATTTTGTACTGTCTCTCGGGAATTGAATTCTTTACCCACTAAAAAGTTGTCTAAATTTTAGAAAAAGTAATAGTCGGTAGGTGCACCTTTAGTGGGTAAAAAATTCAATTCCCGAGAGGCAGTACAAAATACCTTTGAAGAGTTTGTTGCTTCCCGTCCAGCTGATTTTTACAAGCAGGGCATCAATAAACTGCCAATGCGTTGGCAAAGATGCGTCGATTGCATGGGTGATTACTTCGAATAACAGAAATAAAAAAGTTTGAAAAAATAAGTACTTTCACTTATTGCATACAAAACGGCAATTTCATAGGTAAAGACCTATTATTTTTTAATTTTGCTTTCATAATCTTTGTGATGACGATGTAATAATGATTATTTTCTCATTAAAGACCAAAAAAAGTAACAAGTATGTAAGTAACATGTGCTTTAGTACGCGCCTCAATATGTGGCCCTGTTTTTTCTGTGCGGAAATCCCCTCGAATATCACCCACCGGTGGTTATGTCGGACTCGAACCGACCAAAAACCGCACGCCGTCTCTGGTACCAGTTGCCGGGGAACCAGGTGTACCCTAGGAAGGAAAACCCTGATATCCCGACGTACCTCGGGTCATCTACTTGCGTAAATTACCCCCTCCTGAGTGGGAACCCCTATGTCCCCTTTGTGCTCCCGAAAGGGGGGCGCGCGGCCACCACCCCGGCCTGCTTCTGCTAGGGTGACAGATGGCCTCACCTACCACCCCCAGGCCTGCGCTTATGGAGGACGGAGGACATTCTGCGACCTCCGGCGCCTGAGTCGTCTGCGGTACCGGGCCCGTTGCCGGGCCTGGCGCTCCGGGAGAGTTCTAAACCTCTCCCGGTCTCGCTCCGCTTAGCAAAACATGCACTTAATACGTGGCCCAAGACAATCCCGAATTTTTAGATATAGAAAAGTCGTTAATCCTGAAGATACTGATCAGGATAATCGGATATAGTTATTAAATTATTGTAGGTATTGTCATCAGACGTTGGCAGGTGTGCAAAATTTCGAATTCATATGACTACTCGTAGTTCATGTCTAGACTAGTAATAGAATTCATATGTCATAAATCTAGTTCACAGATTCCGTTACATACATACCCATACGTGAAGCTAATAAAGGGTATTGAAAACTGTCTACTCAATGCTTCCTTCGTATTTCACAAACCTCAAATCTCAATCTTAACTTAACTTATAATACCTGCCAAATACGACCGGACACAGAATCAGTTCTCCTTATACATCCCCTCCTTAGTCAAAGTTAAAAAAGTTAAATGCCATTTAGTGACATTTCAAACCTTTATCAATAACAGTCAAGATTTGTATCTAAATAATTTTAATTTAGCTGCATGCATAGGTCAACCGCATTGGTTCGTTTTATAGGTTCTGTAGCGAGGAAATTTAGGACTATAGAAGAAGTATGGATTCTGCCGTGGTGGGGAAGTGGCGGGCTTGCTGCAATTCCTCTTTGGACTTTGGATTCGTTTGTCCTTGTTGTTAAACTGTTTTCAACATGTACTATTGCTTTAGCAAGAGTTTTTATACCGCCAGTGATGAAGAGCTTGCATGGCGAGACTGTTTTGGTGGGTGGCTTCATTTATACTTTCAAACATATGGCAATTACATAAAATCTATCTGTTTAATTGCCTGAAAATCGAATCGAAGTGGTGTGAAATGGGAGAGGATCTTTTTTGTTGACGGGATATAAAATCCCTTCGGAGCTTCTGCTCCTCAGATTCCACTAAAAACCATCCCGAGGGCCGGCCTCAGGTTACCATGTTATTTCAGGTCCTCTTCGAACTGACACCATGCTTAATCAGGCCCCACCCCAGGGGAAAACACTTTCCCCCCTCAATCGTGACGTGGCGGCCGAATTGCGTCTTATCGCAATCAGGCCGCCATCCTACCCCCTTACGCATCAATCAATCTGCCACCAGAGGTCCCCACTCTCTGGCGGGTCGCGGCCCCGTCGACGGCTGGAATCGTCGCCTACGTCCTCTACGGTCGGGATCGGCCCTCTCCCGATCCCGTTCAGCGGTCTTATTCTGGAGCATTACAACTTTACAGAAAGAGACCACTGCGCCCCAGTCTACTGCCGGACATAGACATTTGCAACCAATTTGTAACTACATGTGTCTCGGATGCATATCCGACATTGGCAGAATTGTCTTAATCAGCCTTTTTCAACTGTTTTCCATATTTAATAATGAAATAAAATAACTACACACGTCTCACACGAGGCAGTCTGTGCTATGGTAACCAGGCTGCTGATAAACCTAATTAAATATTTTTATTTACATACATACGAGTATCATAGATAAATTACGCCCAATTAATATTGTCCTGGGTGGGAAACGAATCTACGACCTCTATCTAAGCGTCAGGATCACTTACCACTGGGCCAACATACCATTCAGACAGATATATTTAAGACTAGCTAAGACAAGCGTTTGTTGTTATAACCGCGGGAAACGCTGCGGGGCGAAGCTAGTCTAAAAAAAGTAGCCTAGGTTACTCCTTATGTCATCAGCTATCTGCCAGTGAAAGTCCCGTCGAAATCGGTCTAGCCGTTCCAGAGATTACCCGGAACAGACAGACAGACAGATAGACAGACAAAAATTGTAAAAAATGTTATTTTGGCATATGTACCGTGTAAACATACATATGCATTATACAAACAGACACTCCAATTTTATTTATTTGTATAGACTAATCTTAATTCTTCTTCTAATCTTATAGTAAGTAATATCAGTGCATATAAATAGGTGCAACAAATGGTATCAGTTAAATGATCTCTGGTCCTTACACATCAGCAGAATACTTATCTTTTGTAGAATATTGTAGAAATACCCCAGTCAAGCAACTTGGCTGCAGTTGCAAATGCGTAATTTTCTATTCCAAGATACTTTCATAAAGCAGCCATGACACCAACATAAATGCCTTTCTTAGCATATGCAACACGAAGAAATGAAAGAAACTTTTGTTCTTCTATTGCTACAGATTACGGGTGCAGCTGGTGGTATTGGACGTGAGCTTGCTCTCCAGTTCGCAGAGCTTGGCGCCACTGTTATTTGCTGGGATAAGGATGCACGTAGAAATAATGCTTTAGTGAATGAAATAAGACAGAAAGATGGAGAGGTCTGTAAGATATAAACTGAAAAAAAAAATCGGTTGTCTGTAAGTCGGTTTACTGACGATAGTTGAACGTGACAACGTCTTAAGAAAATACTGATGGAATGGTTCATACTTGACGAAAACATGTAAATGTATTATTGTATAGCAGCTGTCCACGCGGAGGCATCGCTCACTCAAGTAGGAGAGAGATAGATGTCGAATGCTGCCGAACACGGAGGCCGATTGTGCCTCTTTGTCGCACTTCAAGCCTTAAATGGAACGCCTCAGAGCGAGGTAACGCCGCATGAGTCATGTTTTTTCGTGCGTGCAGCCGGCTCCATCGAATTATAAGACGTCACGTCAAAAAACTACGCTAATGTTAGAACGACCTGGTAACCAGGGAGTCATACCTAAAGCTGCAGGTCCCTATTCGAAGCTGCTTTATTTATGCAGCACTTCTACGTTGTACCTAATTACATTCATGAAGGTTGTCTCAAAGTAAAGTACACTAGCAGTAGCCCGAAAAATACTTTGAGGGCTTTTCGCAATGATACTTACCTCATTCAATATTAGGGTTAAGTGGTCAGGGTTAGCTCACTGTTTTCGAATACACTGTTCCCGTAAACATTATAGACGACTTCTAATTCCGAGGTTTTTGTAAGACTTAACAATTTTATTTCTTCCTTGAACACTGCTGTGCCTTTGTTAAGGAGTTGTTCCTTACATTTCTTACTAAGATCCCTGATTTCTTTTCAGAGCTACGGGTTCACAATCGACATCACAGCACGCGAGCAGGTTGCATCCTTAGCGCAAATGATGCAACGTCAGCTTAGTGAAGTGTCTATGGTAGTCTGTAACGCTGGGGCCGTCACTTGTTTACCTATTACGCATTTACATCAAGATTCTATAGCGAAACTCATTGAGATTAATTTACTGGCACATTTTTGGGTAGGTATATATGAAATATTGCTCCCTATTTGCTCGCGTCAAATTATTTTCTTATTAAGTTAAGTTACGACGTTTTTATGTACCTCGGAAAACGTATGATCTTCTGATCACACTTTGATACTTTTAATGACTACCTATCAGAGGGTCTGGAGGGGTTTTTGTAAGTTTATTTTACATTAACTCGCTCTCGACAGCGAGCTCGTTTGTCTATGCGATTGGTTAAGAATTAGGCCCTCAGTTCAGTTAAAGCGTGAAAGCTTTAACTAAATCCATTCAGTCGCAATGGCATACATAGTTTCACTAATGATGGTCGTGGCACTTCCCCTACGAACAATTGAAACTTTTTTTGCATTTATAATATCTATTTCTTGGAAAAATAATAAGTTTATGAAAATGTAACAGACTCACAGAGTATATATTACACTTATATTATTTTGTCTAGGTAATATTATGGTATTTTAACCGACTTCAAAAAGGAGGAGGTATCAATTCTGATGTTTTTTTTATGTACGTTACGTTACGTTCAGGCATAACTCCGTCATATACACTGTGGCGGTATAGATATCACAAAAAATGAAATAACAGATAACACGGTTCAATATACGTCGGTTAAAATAAAAAAATAAAAAATTAGTACGAAAATACAGAAATGCAAATTTAGAACAAACTAAATACAATAAAATAATTTCCGAATTAGAACACCATTGATAACATGAGTCGGTGAACTGTACCTACACGGCAGCGTCGCAATGTCGGTGACATCAAAACGACGCCGCCGCCGGCGCCGCCGAACTTTACATTCTTATTACCTACCTACCAATCACTTCACTTGCTTTTAAAAATCTATTTATAAAGAATGCGATTTTATTCACGTGTTTATTTCGTGAATGCTCGACTAGCTTCCGACCCAGCAGTACGCGTCACTCCTTGAAAAAGTAGTTACCTTGGTTGTCTCGTAATCTTTGTACCGCCCTTACAAAAATTCGGCAGTCTGTAGGACATACACGATTGACTCCATACGTGTCCGTAAAGCAAAAGATGCGTTTTGATAGAGTTTTCCATAAATTAACATCATAGCAGGATATTCCGCGGCTGTGAAGGTCACTCACGGCATTATGGATGTTGATATCGATAACCCAATAAAATTAAAAGACTGATAATGCACTCAGTTTCACACTACACTACACACAGAACCTAATAGTGACTTTTCAAAATAAAATTAGCAGGACTCCTTACATTACGAAGTCTTGCGCACACGATAACATTAATTGTTCACACCATTGCCGTGATTATGACGAAAGCAATAAGACTAAACAATTATTACCACAAGAAAACTTCTCTAAACAAATATGTATCTCATAAACAACAACAATATTATTATTACGGTTATTTGTCGTGAGCGCATCTACAAGGATACGGAATAGCATAAGCTCGCCGGTGGCCAAGGGCCGACTGACTGTCCTTATTGGATGAACTAATTAAAAACGCGTGTTGCATCGTGATGACGTAATAATCAACATATTTCGTTCGATTCGGGTGTAGTAAAAGCGGCAACGTGTGTACAGCTGATCGCCGCCTGAGGTCAATGTATTATGACTGCATGTACACATGATGTTGCAATTTACGAAACACAAAAATGAGTCCTGTGGCTAAACTACTGGATATATTTTGTTCATATTTTGCAAATCGCCTAGAAATTAAGGGCAGAATATGTGGCTTAAGTATTTGGGATAGGAAATGAAACTCTCTGTATACACAGATATTCAAAAAAAAATTTTTCGAAAGTGTTTTATACCGAAATAGTCTCATTTAAGGACAGACACGGAACTCTTCAAAAAGTGACAGTAAATCAACCGCAATGGCTGCTAGGTTTTTAGTGCTCTTTGTTAGTATTGTTTAAAGGCGGTTCAACTTCTTTTTAAAAAGGATTCATAGTAGGTCTCTTCAATGGTATTAAATGGCGATTTAGTTTCTTTGTCCTAGCACTTCTTTTTTATAGTAAATAGGGGAGCAAATAAGCCATCTGATGGTAAGCAACTATAACCGCTCCTGGACACTTGCAACTCAAGAGTCACAAGTGCATTGTAGCCCTTTAAGTCTTCCCCCTGGAATCAGCGGGAAAGGGGGGAGGGGGGTTGTCTCCGATAAGCTCACTCGGAGAAAGCAACGAAACATATATGTGTCGTCCTAAGAAGAACCTATACGCAAAGCGATCCTTAAACTTTAGCAAGGCATTTCTTCTTTCTCTATCTAATGAAATGATGGATTCAAGCCAGAAATATTATCCACAACCCAAATCATTACCATATTTTACAGGTAATTCAAGCCTTTTTACCAAATATGGTAGACAGACGATATGGACACATTATCTCAATCAACTCCAGCGCTGGCTTAATGCCCTACGCGGATATGATCCCTTATTGCGCGGCAAAGTTTGGCCTTAAAGGTAACTGCAGTCTACTATGCATTTTATTGAATAGTGTAGGTACTATTGTAACATTTTCTCCATTATAAGCAAACTTCTATCCCAGGTTTAATGGACTCTATAACAGAGGAGCTTCGTCTGGACACATGGACAAAAAACATCAACACAACTTCAGTATACTTGGCCAGCGTGGCCACAGGATTCTATCCACCTCCCACTCATAGGTTCACATCATGGTACTCTGAAATACAGCCCAAAGACGCTGCTAAGATCATTATTGATGGTAAGACTTTTCGATTACCGATAGGTCTAAAGTTATAACCGAGCCTTTTGCTTAATTAAGGGGAGAAATATAGTTAATATAGAAATATTAGTAAGTGAGTGACCAATGTAGTATTTTTTTCAAGTAGTTTAACGGAAACTCCCATGTCCAGTCTGCAGTTTTTGCCCATAACTATCTCCAGAGAGTACAGAATAAATTGAGCTTCCTAAAACTAGGACTGTCTCGAATGCAGAGTAATATTTTGTTTGAGCCGACAACATAAATAAAAAAACATTTGAGTTTTGCAGTTTGGAACAAATTGAAGGTTTTTAATCACCATTTTCACTTCGTAGGTATTCGAAAGAATTACAAGGAAATCAGCATACCTGTATTTATGAAGTCTCTAATAGATTTGAACAATCTTATGCCTTATAGAATAAGAATCATTTTCACGGATTTTTTCAACTTTCGACATAGAGGTTGGTTCTGTTTCTGTTAAGGTTTTATTCGAATTTTGCCAGTCTATTTACTTGGCTCGGCTACATTTTGGTTTAGGTAAATTTAGCCTAGTCTATGAAGCCTATAGTAATTAAGGTATTGCTGTAAAAGCAAGAAATGTATTGGTTATATTAAAATCACCTTAAATTAACACTAATACTTGGTGCGTGATCAGTGGGCCTAGTGTGAGTTTAATTCACATCAACTCGATCATCACAGTGACCGCTCTTGCCGTCAAGAAATAAACTAACACTAGGCCCTCTGAAAACCCATTTCAGATTACGCCCCCAGGTATAAAAGGTTTTGTTTGTTGGTTCCAATTTATTTGCTATTGGGGTATTATTATTAGGTGATTACGTCTGAGGGCCATAGACAAGCTTGATTTGCTTTAGGCATACTCATTTCCAAACTTCTAAGTTTCCTATTCAACTCAAAAATTGATGATTTACGTAAGGTTTTCCATTAAAAATAAATATATGTAGGAAGTTATGGTTTAAAAATTTATGTGAATATTTGCTATTGACTTGTTTATTTAGCTGGTGTTGTTATTAGTAATTTACATTATTGTTAATTAGTTATTATTTTAATAAATCGGGATAACTTTATTAAATAGCGTTTATTGTTATTACCTATAATTCCTTTAACAATAATATATGCTTATTGCCAATAGGAACCTAAAACTTTCTTCTTTCTATTGATAATAATGAAATTTTATAAAATATTAACATTTATAATAATGAGTTTATTTAGTTGTATCACCGATAGAGATATTGTTAAAACCTTCAATGCTCTTAGTGTTAGGAAAACCACCGACCTTTGGGGTAAATCTGTACAAATAACAAAGTTAATTATTAGCGAAGTTGCATCAGAGTTGGCCTTAATTTTCAATAAGTGCATTGAATGTGGTGTATTTCCTGACCTAATGAAGCATAGTAAGATTATTCCTTTATTTAAGGCGGGTAGCACATCTGATCCTACAAAGTAACTATAGACCTATTTCAGTGTTACCTACATTCAGTAATTTTTTGAGAAAATAAATTAGATCAGCAACAAACTCATTTTAGTGTAAACAATATTCTACACAGGAAACAAAAGTAAGAAGATATATTTGGTGCCCAGGAGGATAAATGGGATGCGCTGGGTGTGTTTTGTGATCTGTCTAAGGCATCCGATAGCGTTTTTCATGAAATATTGATTAAGAAATTTGGCCCTATGGAATAAGGGATACTGCTTTAGATCTTCTTATCTCTTATTTGGGTAATAGGATCCAGAGACTGGAAGTTAATGGACAGAGGTCCCTCGGGTCACTATGAGGGTTCCACAGGGCTCAATTCTCGGCCCAATTTTGTTGCTCGTTTATATAAACGACCTTCCTAATCTGATAAAAGATAATCAGAAAATAGTGCTATTTTCGAATGAAATTATTTAAACTGAAACGACAGCAATCAGTTACTGACGATGTGAGTAACATTATCTCCAAGGTCGTGAACTGGTGCAACGTTAATAACTTACTTTTAAATGAGAAAAGAACTAAATGTATTAGATTTTTTACATCTAATGTTAAGCAGGTAAAAACCAGTATTCTGATAAATGGAATGGAAAATGGAAAAAGCAGTATTCTGATAAATGGAGTTGGATTCGTGGACACCACTAAGTTTTTAGGTATAACTCTTGAAGATTGTTGAATAGATTCAGCTCAGCAGATTCGTCAATTAACTGATGTAAAAACAGCTGGACTAGAGTATTTTAGCTATTTTCATCGTGTTATATGGTATTTTGTTGTGGGGAAATGCTGCTAACATTCAAAGTATTTTTGTGTTGCAAAAGAGAGCTATTCGCGCTAAGCTATGGTTACATACATACATAAACCTACATACCTACCTATTATTACCTAAGATTGTAATGAATCTGTTAAGGTGTCTAGAATGCGAGCTCGAACTTTTATCTTGAACGAGAGGCAGCTGGGTGCTGTCCTGATTTCTAGAGGGAGAGTGTTCCAGAGGAGTACGGATTACGAGGACGAGTTAATCTTTATTTCTAGTGTTTATCTTATTAATGTCGCTAAACTTTGTGAATATATATAGTAGTAGTAGTAGGCTAAAACCTTTTTTTCAAGGAAAGGCGTATATGTCCAGCAGTGGACTAGCAAAGGCTCTTGATGTGATGTTGATGTGACACAAAATTGTCATATTTATATTGAGATGATACTGCCATAATAAACAATTCTTTAAACTTACCCTTAAGTGACTGGGGGAGGTTTCACAGACATTTATGAAACGGGCATAAAGAATACCTAGACTTAGAACAATTTGGATTCAATTTCAAGACACTTTTTGCCTTCAATCTGTGGAACAAGTTATAGGCTGCGGTATTTCCGGACCGATACGTCCTTCAAACCTTCAGGAAAAGAGCGTACTCCTTCCTCAAAGGCTGGCAACGCGCTTGTGACTCCCGAGTTCATGGTGTTCATGGGCAGCGGTAGTCGCTTTCCATCCCGGTGCTCGTTTGCCCCCTATTCCATAAAAAAGGAGTGTTAAGGTAACAAAGGAAAAAAATACAACAGACTGAAAAAAATCTCTCATTTTTTCAAAACCTTTAAAAAAATCGTCAGACGTTACATGATTTGTAATAAAATGCAATTTATTAAATTACACACAAGTATGCAAGTTAAGCTTATAACTATTAACACACTGGCCACATTTCTCACACATTATTGTATTAGAATGTTGAAACATATTGTGTTCTTCTAGCGACTTTGAATCTGTAAACTGCTTGCTACAAATATTGCAGGCTGTTTTATCACTTCCATGCTGTGTCATATGACGGTCCAACGTGATGCGGGTAGCGAAGCTTCGACCGCAGGATTCACATAAATGCCGAGTCGGTTTTGGTCTTGCAGTATGATTTTTAACATGAAGATATGTTTTTTTGCGATCAATTGAAGTAAAACTGCATATTTTGCATCTGTAACATATTTGAGAACAATAGAACAAAGAAACAAGAAATAATTGGTTAAGAATACATAATTGCAACTACTGCTATAATGGTTACTGTGGAGGAATGCGTCATGTCCCTCCAACATATAGAGAGGGATTCTGAAATTAAACTCCGACAAACATTTTGCTGCCGAATGAGTCGCCGACAGAATGTTTTGTTTATGAGTTGTTCAACGACAGAACTTTTCATATACGAACGATTCGCCGACAAATCTATACTAATATTATAAAGCTGAAGAGTTTGTTTGTTTGTTTGTTTGAACGCGCTAATCTCAGGAACTACTGGTCCGATTTGAAAAATTCTTTCAGTGTTAGATAGCCCATTTATCGAGAAAGGCTATAGGCTATATATCATCACGCTAAGACCAATAGGAGCGGAGCACCAATGAAGAACGTTTCAAAAACGGAGAAAATTTATTACTATTGTGAGACGCAGACGAAGTTGCACGGGTCAGCTAGTCGTTTTATATAAGACCTAATCAACGACAGAACGTTTCCGTTACGAACGTTCCGCCGACAGAATCTTACTTAATATTATTAAATGACAAATGTGCGCCCAGACATTTAAGAAGGTTTTTATGTCCACATCATCATTTTCTGACTACGAATACAAACGAATTTGAAGAGTCGCAACACTACGGTAAATTTACACTATATTTTATACACTATACTATACACACTATATTGTAACTACGAGTAGTAGCGGAAAAACACAAAAACAATACTTAAATTGTTAGCATACGAAGGAACACGTGAACCGTACAGTCCCGAGAAGGGAAGTGTGATAAATGTGTCCTATGAACTTTAGAATTCTTTTTGTTAATTATAGTTGATTTGTTGTGTTTTTGTTTTGGTGAAAACCATGGTAATTGTTAGCAATAAGTTATTTTAATATGCAAATATTTTTCATTGAACCTTTCAAAACGTTTAATCTTTAGATTTAGCCAATAGTAGTGACAAACCATGCCTAAATAAGCTTTATCCACGAATCTTTTTTTGGTGTAAGATTCTGTAGAAACGAAACGTTCGTAGCGGAAAGGTTCTGTCGTTGATTAGGTCTCATATAAAACGTTTTGTCAGCGAATCGTTTGTATTTAAAAGGTTCTGCTTGAACAACTCATGAACAAATCATTCTGTCGGCGAATCGTTCGTATGTGAAAGGTTTTGTCGTTGAACATCTCATAATAGAAACATTCTGTCGGGGACTCATTCGGCAGCGAAATGATTATCGGAGTTTTATTTCAGAATCAGAGGCCTGTGGCAAGGGCCATGGCCCTTTGGAAGTGGAAGTCACCACAGCTGAACTTTTCCAAATCACATGCCGATCATCTGCTCATTAAAACAGTACTCAAATATTGTCTAATAATAATCAATCATCATTCTGCAGATTTCCTTTCACAGTTTAAACTTGATTTAGAGTGAATGTGTATTTTTTTTAAAGGCAAGGTCATGAATCTATTTAGGATTTTTGTGATTTATGGCTGGGTTATAGTCCCCAGAAAACATTTGATGGCCATTGAATCACTTAAAATTTAAAGCAAGTTCATTTGAGTAAGTTCTTACTCTTTAAAAACCAACCAACCCACTTTAGGATTTATAGTATAATTTAATATAACATACCTGTACATAACATTATCCAGTTTTACATGCTCATCCTTTTTATGTTTGGCTAAAGTTACACTGTCCATAAACGTGTGGCCGCAAGTATCACACACTCTCTCCTCTGACTTAATTATATGTTCTTTGGCATGCTTATACAATTGACAACGTTCTTTAAATGTGTCCCCACATTCCTTGCAACGGTATACACACCCTACTGATGCAGCATAGTCTGTGTGACAAGTTCTGTGATGCTGGATCAATCTCTCTTTAGTCTGGAATTGTTCACCACAGTTACATGTAAACGGTACTGATGTGTTATGAGTGATAGAGTGTTGTTGCATTTGTTGTTTAGAATTAAATAGCATATTACAGTGTATGCATGTACGTAGTGCAATATCGCATAAACTCATGTGCTGCAATAATTTCGGTACATTCTCAAACTTTGTTTTGCAACCGAAACACACAAATATATTTTTATCATTCTTTACTTGACTTATTTTAGTCTTTGGGTCTGTTTCTTTTTTTATTAGTCCTTTTATTACAGTCAAATCAGATTCTAAGATATCTACGTCCATTTTAAACTTTTTGGCGTCTTTCTTCTTAGGGCTAGGGACTTTAGATGTTTTCAAAGTTGCTTTAGCGATTTCAATATTGTGTTCGTTTCTGTCTAACATATTCACAATACAAGGTATATCTTCTTTGCCTAGGTTATTTAAATATTCTTCTATGTTCGCAGTGTTGTTTAAAAATTCTAGAAGAGAGTCTGAGTTGTATTCGGAGTCAGGCAATGGCTGCAAAGGAACTTTATTCTCGGCAGTTTTTTTTCCTTTCTCTTGCACTGAAGATTCGAGCCAATCTTGTGAGCATCGAGCATTTAGTTGAAAATTATAAAATTGATTTAGTAATGATACACAGGACATGCAAATAGTTTTTGGTAGGTGATCATTTGGTGATACTGAAACCCCAAGACACGATTTTAAATGTAAATTTATAGTTGAATCCCCAATGATGGATATATGGTCTGACTCCCGGTCTAAACATATGCGACAACAATTTTGGACGTCGTCACACATTTTCTGATAAGGATAAGATATTTAACAATTATAAAAGAGGGTCAGATACAGAAGTTCATTATTTTGAACATGTTTTGACTTTTGAGATTTTGTTATTGTGACGGGACAATCTTCGTCTAATAACCAGTTAAAAGAACCCATGACCACTTATTTAAAATAATCGGCATTTTAGCAATTTTTAAAAACAACTAAAATAGTGTGTGCTTAACTTTTATTTATTAAAGTTTGTCATTACTTTATTTTCATGATTTATTTATTATTCTGTTTGTTTATGAACGTAACAACAATATGATCCGATGTTGGGCGCGAGGTCATTCACTTGATTAGGATTCCTAATAGCAATGATTAAAACTCCTAGCACTTGTAATTTACAAACTTTACTAAAAACTAAAAAACTATTACTAATTACTAATAAACTGCTGTTATAAAGTGGAAATATTACGGTATCTCAGACCTCAATTTAAAATAACATATTTTTATTAATATTGAAGTAATATCACTATTTTGATTCGTCATTTTTTTGTACTTCTACCGAGACTTTAAATTGGCAATAGTTTAAGTAGTGAACAGTGTTGTGTATGTACAAGTGTGCATTGGTCGCAGCGCGAGCCGTATGTCTCTGCGTGCCTGCACCTGCATACCTACCTACTTGCATTTCGTATGAATTGTATTATTTTATAAGTTAGTAATAAACGTACCTCCGCGCTTAACTGTTTTTATTCTTCTGTCCACTGGTCAAATATTTATCAAGAAGCCTGAAAAAACTCAGTCAGGGTTTTCTCATTGTTATTTTATGTTACGCTACAGATATTAAACATTTTATTAATTGTTGGGTTTAACGACCTTCAAATCTTTAAGAAAAGAGTGTACTCCCACTACTCCCCCATTAAATGCCGGGATTACACTTGTAGAATTTGTATTATACTACTGCTATTATATACACTGCAGCCTTGAAGAAAACTGGTGTTAAGCAATTCTTTCGTTACATTTCACAGAGTGAGTGAATTTTCCTTTCTAAGCCCAACCTTCCAACTCTAAGGGATAGAGGCACTCAAAAGCCGCCGGCATAATTGTGACTCCTTGAGTGACCGATAGGTCTCACTGGGCAATAGTAGTCACTTGCTTTTAGGTGATCCGTCAGCTCGTTTGCCCACTATATAAATAAGAAAGCGAACACAGAATGTTAGTTGCACTAGCACCAAGTTTTTGATACACTTCTTCACAACTATCGAGAAAACATATTTTTTGAAAGTTTTTTGTTTACGGAACCTGTTCATAACTTTACAATATTATTTAGCTCAATTTTGCCGCAGTTTGACAATAAAATACTGTCATGTCATGTCAAACTAAACAAAATTTTGACAATTATTTGTGAATAAAGGAGTTTATTACTTTATTAGTTGATCGGTAGGTTTGCAATCAATTTAATTCAATCAAGTTATTGGATTTTGAATCTGCGCGGCATTTAGTGGGAGTTTCGTGTGTCATATAATAATACCGAACCTGCTTTTGCGCAAAATTTATAAAATAGAATCTTATCACAGAATGAGTGTTGACATAATTAGAGGCGACAAGTGAGGCTGTGCTGTGAGGTTCAATGACGAAAAGCCTTGCCTGTATATAAAAAAATACTAGGTGACTGCAAAGCGCTCAAAATGAATAAAAACGACTCGATCAGCTCTGAGACACAGGAATCATTGTTGTATTCGGCCAGACATGGAGAATTGTCGGTGGTCAAGGCTTTGCTAGATGCAAAAAATGAAGGAAAGCTTACTTTGGATATAAATTGTAAAGGTATGAACTTTTTACCTATGCTATTCTTAGTACTACCATATATACTTTATAATAAAATACACAAATAATTGCAGGACTGTAAATACAAGTATTAGGTTATAATATTTTTTTAAACTATTTCTTACATTTTTTATTAGCATTAATTATCTGTAAAGATTGTTCATTCCATTTTAAATTTGATAAGCCAGTGAGATAAGCCAGTCAACATGAGACTGTAGGTTCTTCCCTAGTTGTTTTATGTATTCATTTATCAAATTGAAACTTTTAATATTTTAAGTGTAAATAGTTTCTGTAAAAAAGTTAAAGGGGATCTTAATTAGATGCTGATGGCACAGTATGGCAGCTCTTTAGGCAATATAGAGTTGGCGATAGGATGGCTGCCTGGGCACTGGGCACCGCTTCGATCTGGGGGACCTGGAATAACATGTTCTGGGTCCTCCTCAGAGTTGAGAGAGAGAGCCTGAGTCTGGCTGTCGAGGTGGTTTATAGTGGAAACACCACATACCCCTGGCTCCTACCTCTCCAAGGAGCCGAAGATCCGAGGGATTTTCCACCCCGTCAACAAAAAAAAGGCAAAATCGAGTTGATAAGTTGTAAAAAAAAATTAATTATAATACTAATAGTTTACTACAGAAGATGCTAACTATAAATTAAACTATACTAGTTCTATACTGCCAAGTTTTGCTGTGGCACATTGATATAAAAAATAAAAAAAAACTTTAGAGTGTTTATAGTTCAAGTTAAAGTTTAACCTTTGATATGCCACTACACTGTACAGTGCTTACCAGTGAAAGCACTTTACAGTGTAGCGGCATATCAGAGGTTAAGCTCTATCAGTGCAACGTTTTTGTAGTGTACACAAACCAACTTAAATTAAAATACAGTGGACTTTATTAAAAACGACTTTGGTTGTAAAGTCTTTTTGTTTATAGCGACGTCAGACTTCATCCCTAAAAGCATACTTTTGTAAGAAATACATTCGGCGGTAGCAACTTCAGGTATAAAGTCAATTTCAGGTACAGCGACATGTTATTATGAACCATTTGTAACAGATTCCTGAAAATTCCATGTGCATATTGTGACTGAGTCAGCAAAGGCACACACAGGCAAAGACTCATTCATAAAACTATTAATAAGCTTTCTTATCCTTTGTTTACATTTACAGATGGCTAGATATGATGCTTATGCATACACAGTAGGACTTATAAATTTGTTACATATCAATTTCCAGTGTGTGAACAGTGTTTAGCAAACTTGTGAATTGGCTCCTAGAGATATGTTCACTGGTAAAGAAAAGATTTAGACAGCAACATGATATAGTGGTCAGTAAAGTTTGTGGAGAAGCCGCAAGTGTTTCAACAAATAACTGTGATAATTGGTTGAGAACAGTTTTACCAAAATTAACTGAAGGGTAAACTGACAGTGATATATATAGGTGCATGATTTTCTGCTACTTTGGATATAGCAACGACATTAAAGTGGTCATTTCGACATTTAAGTGGGGTTGGTTTAACCGAAATCCACCGTATCTTACTAATATTAAAAAGGCGAAAGTTTGTATGGATGTTGGTTACTCTTTCATGGAAAAAAGAGATTGGATTTGGATGCAATTTGGCACAGAAATAGATTGTAGTCTGGAAAAGCATATGGGCTAATTTTTATCCTGAAAAATGGTAGTGTTCTTGTGGGATGAGCAAGGTACAACAACAACCGCGTTGCGCAGCTAGTACAGATTAAATAAGTATAGTAGAAAGAAAACTAGTACACCTGCTGTTATAAGTTTTATGGGAATAATATAATATTTCGGACATCTGACACACAATGCCATCTAGTTTCAAACTAAGCAGAGCTTGTTTCACACTCCAAAATTTTCATCCTCATCACCTGGATAGTTGCCGCACCACTGCTTTGCGCTTTTGAGATACTTTTTGCCGCACAACCAATCTGTGTAACGGGTTATCGTCTGCGGTATTTCCGGACCGACCTTCAAGAAAAGAGCGTACTCCTTCCTAAAAGGCCGGCAACGCGTTTGTGACTCCTGAGTTGCAGGCGTTCATGGGCGGTGATGGTCACTTTCATTTATGTGACAAGTCTGCTTGTCTGCCCCTTCTAAAATGAAAAAAAAAATAGATTGACTTATAGAATACTTATATACCTACTTATTTTTGAAAATACAAATATACCTAAAAACACCCAATGACTAGGAATGACTAGGTTTATATTACAATTTCATCATAAATTGATGATGAGTCATAGACTATATTTTATACTCGTATTATCAACTCTATTACCACACTTTCAATACCATATAGTAATAATTTTGAACTACTGAACTGTAATAATCTATCTAAATTGACATTTGATTACTAAGTATATGAGTAATCACTTGTTTACCGAGTCTCCTATATCTTGGTATCTTGACAGGCTATCCTATTTCCATAAAATTTAATGTTAGCTGTTTATTTTTTTTCTTAATGCACAGATAGTGTTCTTTGTGTCCGTTTCCTGTACAAGTATGTTTGTAAATTCCCCCGCGACACAGGAATATGTTCCTAATGCGGGAGTTTAACTTTTAAAAAGATAAAAGAAAAATAGGTGTTGTACAATGGCAGACTTAATGCCCCAGGATTTTTTTTCCCAATCTACGTTAAGGTGATGTGGTTTAAATATTACCTTAGAGATAACTTTAAATTAAACAATGTACTTAAGCTACCAAAAGATGGAGGATTAAAATACATATATATACCACCTACCTAATCCAGGAGGCCATAATACATGAGAATTAGGAATGTCCAAGCTTCCCTCAGAACCTCTAATCATCAGACGTAAAAGAATAACTGTATGATCATAAGAGTCCACCTTATCAGGTCGACTGACACAGATTTGTTTTAGAGTCACATTTCACTAGATAATTGGACCACCCAGCTTATCTTTTTATATGACAGGGTTCAAACATGGAATACCTCTTTAAACCTCTGCTTAATTTTTAGTATGCAACAGGCCTTCAATCATGTGTGGCTTAGGGGCTTTTTGTTCAAAAAAAAAGAAAATCTTTGTGTAGACTACCTACCATAGTCTAGTTTAGACGGTAGATCCAAGTGCATTAAAGAGATGAAGTAACCAGTTTCTAATACTAAAACTGGAGTTCCACAGGGGTCAATGCTGGGACCTGTTTTATGGAATGGTTTCACATCTTGTTTTCACATCATGTAGGCTTGTAATGTTAATTCATATTTAATTATCTTTCTGGTGGTTTTGAGTGTTTCCACGGCCTACCCAAATGTCCTGCTGGCGGTAGTGTCATGCTTCGGGTCGTTGATCTTGACCAATATCGGTTAGGCTACACGATGGCTGGAGCCTGTATGCCGTCTGTATGGACAGGTTGACTCAAAACTATGGTCCTTTCCTCAAAAGGCCTATCCAGACCCTATACTGTACTCGCACAGTTTTATTTAACTTTGTTTACGGACTTAAAAAAAAGACACCTCTGTGGTTTGTTTCGGCGTTTCTTCCCAGAGTGAGTCTTAGGAAATGCCGGCTCCTTCTAGCTATAAAGTCCGACTTGTAAAAATATCTGAAAAGATTTACTTACAGAAATAAATATCATTTCATTTCATTTCATTTCATCTAATCTTCCAATGTCAGAGAATGTAATGTTTAGCTGTAACCTAACTCTACGAGTGCATTTTTTTTTTCTTTGAGAAGAAAAAATATAAAATGAATAAAATAAAAACTTGCACACATATAGACACTGAAGCAGCCTATTAGCCCTTTTTTTTCTGTGCGGCCTTTTTTTTTTTTTTTACCGGTGGTTATGTCGGATTCTAAGGATTAAAAAATGCACGCCGTCTCGGGTACCAGTAGCTTAGGGCTACTATCTAAGCACCATAACTGCTGAATCTGAATCGACGACCGGGACATTTGAGAACTGTAAATGGTAATCCATGGACAAATCTTAAAAACTGGATAAATATAAAAAAAAAACTTAGTTTTTTTTTTATCAGACTTTTATACTTGGTCTTTATTAGATTAGGAACTTTTAAGTGATTTTTGGTACAGTGTTCCGAGGAGCTCCATCAACAAATCCCACCTTCCACCTTTCTACCCAGAACGCCGTCGCATACGACTCATGAATGTGCACCTAGGTACTAAACCGGGACAGATGGTTCATTTCCCGGGACACCGGGACATAACGCTTCAAACCGGGACATGCCCTGGTGTACCGGGACGTATGGTAGCCCTACAGTAACCGGGGAACAAGATGTAAAGCACTTGCGTATTTATCGCTCGTATTTAGATTTATAAAGAATATAAGGCCTTACTCAGTGTTTACTATCTGCCTTGAATTTTGTTTAAACAAATTTAATTTACACAGTATGTACTTTTTCAATTTATAAAATAGTGTTACATAGATACGAGTATGTATGTATTTTGTTTTACAGGAAAAAATAAGACAAACTTAGGATGGACACCACTGCATTTGGCGACATACTTTGGCCACACAGAAGTGGTAAGAGCTTTGTTAGAAGCGGGAGCTAATGTTGACGAGGTCAATGACACTGGTGACACAGCATTACATAAAGCATCGTTTATTGGCAATGAGGTAAGAAATGTGTTAGTTTAAGCTCTGTTTTGTTTGACACAAAATAATCGTGCGTGTAACGTTCAACGCGATGCTGCAGGACCTACCGTGCAACATCTACACGTCGGGATATGTCTAAACACTTGAAAATGATAGTCAATTATCTCTGAGCGTTGTCACGCTGATTAATCGCATTTTGCTCGCTGTTCCGCTAAGTACACACCAACTCCAACTCCAACTCCTCCAATTTTCTTCTGATTAATGTCGTTGCGGGTTCCAAGACAGTTTAATTTCTTCCTGGGACTTTCCGAGTGTCATAACTCGGTGTGTTCGTGGGTCACTGTTGTGGATCCTGGTGTACAGGAGTTACAGTGGTGGGCGTGTGGGTGGGATTAGTCCCTATACAAAAAAAAAAGTACACACCACTAACTCCTCAATGATGAATGAAATGACTGCACGGATGGCGTAGTGGTTTAAGCGGTCACCTCGCCGCTTCCTAATGGCTGAGTGTTGTGGGTCCGATCCCCACATGGGACAACACTATGTGATTCACAAATTGTTGTTCTGAGTCTGGGTGTTCTTTGTCTCCGTGTAATGTATGTTTGTAGTCTCCCGCGGCACATGATATATTCTTAGTGCGGGAGTTGTCTTTATAAAAAAATACAGGTCGGAGTGTAGACAAGGACAATATCTAACGAAAATGTCCAATGTCGTAGTACTAGCAGGGCCTCAATTCTGCTATTTTATGTTCACGCCAAGCCACTGTCATACCACTAACACGCTATTGAGATGCCATCGAGTGGCCATTGGCCAAATCATTTCCTCCAAAAAAACGTAATATATTTTCAAATTACAAGGAAATGATTTATTTATTTTTCTAAAATGGCAACCTACTCAGTGCAAAAAATGCAACAAAAGAAATGCTTAACAACGGTTTTCTGTCAGGCTATGGTGACGCTCCTGTCGAACCGGCTCGTAGGTGTACATAATAAGAAGTATTTATAGCATATATACAAAAATGATAAATTATACGACCGCCGTTAAAAAAGTTCGCATTGGCATCGGTATAAATATCGGTAGTCTACACTAACTCAGTGTCTTTACAGTGGCGATGGAATGGCAGTGGCTCATATGTGGTGATATCAAAAAGATATAAAGAAAAATAAATAAATCATTTCCTTATAATTTGAAAATATCAATCAATCAATCCTACATGACTTTATAGTCCAATAGCTGCAGTATAGCTGTAGTGTAGCAGTACCCTGCCAAGCTTCGCTGTCGCACATTGTAGTTGCATTGATGAAAAACAAAACAGACGCAAAAATAGATAAAAACAATCTTTGAAGCGGGTTGTATACACCAACAACAGCCTTTAATAGTCCTGCTGGACATAGGCCTCTCCTTAGAAAGGAGGTTTTGGCCTACTATACCACGCTGGCCAGACGGGTTAGTATAGGGTTTTTTCAAGTTTTCCTTTTCTTTGCAGTGGATCCTGCGTAGTACTACTACTAGTTTTCCTTCTCTTTGCAGTGCTGTTGTCCAGCGTAGCTTACTCCCTCAGACGCTTCTTAAGACAAGCGGGTTGTATATGACGTCAAAATTTCAGCTCAACTAGTGCAGAACTTATTGAGGTTTTAAAGTAACACAAACCAACTTAACATTTAGACTATAAATTAGCACAATAAAATAAATTACGATTTGGAATAATACAATTCAACGCCTGCATACTTTCTTCTTTAATTATACTGGTTTATATCGATAACTGATAAATAAACCTATTACTGTCTGTCTGTGACGGTTTAAGAATAGTGTGACCATCCCTATTTATCCCGTAGGTGTCGTAAGAACCGACTAAGGGAGCAAACTACGCAGGACGCACTGTAAAGAGAAGGAAAACTTGATACAAACCCTTTTTTTTTTTTTTTTTTTTTTTTAACGTGTGGAAATCCCCTCGGACCGTCACCCCTCCGGGGTTTGCGGCGGGGTGGTGTGTCGGACTCGGACCGACTAAAACCACACGGTGTGCCACTCTGCGCCTGTAACAGGAGGGATCCGGGAACAGCTGTTGTTAAGACATCCGGACCCCTCCTAGCGCCAGCCCGCTCCTGGTGCGGGCTCCGTCTCAATATTTTTCCCTCTCTTTAGGCGACGTCCGGCACACGCGGACGCCGCCCCCTCGCGGCTGGCCAAACTAATGCGGGTGGAGGGGAAACCCACCCCGTCCACCCGCGGCCACACTCAGGGCGGCATGAGGCTGTGATAGGCGGGCCTCCGCCGCCCGGTTCGCCGAGGTACTTTCCGAAGCAACCGTGCCCGGAAAGCACCTGCGTCAGCCGGAAGGAAAGGGTCCCGTGCTGCCGCCCTGCCCACTCGGCGATGACCGGCTGGAGAGCCTCCACGGCGGCGAAGCCAGCGCGTGGAGTCTCCAGCCGGAACGACCAACGAGCCATCGTGGCTCGGCGAGCGGCTTCGCGCCACTCGCGCACATCCTCGGGCGGAGGGCGAAATCCGCTCTCCGCCCGGGAGTCAGCCACTCGCCGATAAACTTCGGCGAGCACTTCCGCCTCCAAATCCCACGGGGGAGTTCCGGCCAACGCGCATGCCACCTCCGTCGAAACGGTGCGGTAACCGCGTATGGCTCTGACCGCCATTACCCTCTGAGGGCGCCAGAGGCGTACCCTATTCTGGGCGGTCAGAGCCGCCGCCCACACCGGTGCACCGTACAGTGCCATTGACCGGACAACCCCCGTGTACAGCCGTCTTGTCGCGACGCTGGGTCCACCCATATTGAGCAAAAGTCGCCCTAGGGCAGACGCAGCGCCGACCAGCTTTGGAGCAAGCTGTCGGAAGTGCTCGTCGAAGAGCCACCTCCCGTCGAGGATCAGGCCCAGATATTTCATCTGGGCCCGAAACGGTACGAGGACCGAGTTGACCACGATTGAGGCGCCAGGGGGTGGACCACGACGGGGCCCATGAAATAATAGGGCCTCCGTCTTATCTAGGGCCACCCGTAAGCCCAGCGCCTCAATGCGCCCGACCACCAGGGAGACTCCCCCTGTGGCCAGGCGCGCCGCCTCTTGGAAGTTTGCCCCCCGGGCTGTCACCAGGGTATCGTCTGCGTAACAGATTACACCCAGCCCGGGGGGGAAATCGGCGCGAAGGGCCCAGTCGTACCCTATGTTCCACAAGAGGGGTCCAAGAACAGACCCCTGTGGAACACCGCACGACATGGGCCGACACCTCAGATTACCTTCTCGGTCCTCGTACACGACGGTACTCTCCTCTAAATAGTCTGCCACTAGCCGCCTCAGGTACTTTGGCACCCCATGATAGTGGAGTGCTTCCCTGATGCAGCTGAATGGCAGACTATTGAATGCGTTGGCGATGTCTAATGACACCGCCAACAACACGCCACCACAGCTCACGGCCTCTTCGGTCACGGCCCTCAGGCGCAACACGGCGTCGACTGTCGAACGCCCCGCCCGAAAACCGGGCGTTTGGGCGTCCGACAGTTCGGGGCCCACCTCGCAGAGGTGCCGGACGATGCGGGCAGAAAGAACCCTCTCAAACAGTTTGCCCGCCTCGTCCAACAGCACGATGGGCCTATAGGCCGCGACCGAATCGGCAGGCCGTCCCGGCTTCCTCAATAGGACCAGCTTCCCGCTCTTCCAGCACTCAGGGAAGCGTCCCGACGCCAAGCTAGCGTCGAACACCTCCCCGAGGCGGTCTGCCATGTGGTTGAGGGCCAGGGCCAGCACTCGGGCCGGTACCCCGTCTGGCCCAGGGGCGGTGTTCTTGGAACGGATCCGTAGAACAGCCGCCCCTACCTCCGAATCCCGGACGGGCGGAACATTATCCTCCCCGTGCTCCCCGTCGTCTCCGGCCAGGGAGGCCATCGACGGGGGAGTGTGTTCCGCTCGTTGTGGGAAAAGGCCCTCAACCACTTCTCGCAGGAAGCTGGGCTGGAGAGTCTCCGTAAGGGGGGGGCCCGACGCGCGGAGCTTTTGTCGCACCGCGCGGTAAGGGCGACCCCAGGGGTCACGATTAAGACCCTCCAGCATCTCCTGTCTCTTTTCTTCTTTGGCGCGGCTAATGGCCAGCTTCAGAGTTTTCCGCGCCCGTCGGTACTCCTCATGAAGCCGTCCTCCTCACCGTCTCCACGGTGACGCCGCCGACTGCGCGTGTAGGACCTCCGGGCACGTGTACAGGCCGCACGGAGGTCCGCCAGCTCCTGATACAAACCCTATACCAACCCGTCTGGCCAACGTGGTATAGTAGGCCAAAACCTCCTTTCCAAGGAGAGGCCTATGTCTAGCTGTAGACTACTGAAGGCTGTTGACGACTGATAATTACATTTTTAAACAACCGAACCAAAATGTGTCGATACATAATTTGAAGTTAGAGAACAAGTTATAACATTTAAGTTATAACTTGTTCTCTAACTTTAAAACCAGTTCATTTATAAATATGTTAAATACATATCATATAATTCATTAAGTTATGTTCAACGCAAGAAAAAACGAGAATCATTTAAAAGAATATGAAAGATTAACTAGAAAACCGTTGTTAATCATTTCTTTTGTAGCTTTTTGCACTGAGTGGGTTAACCGGAGCCCAAACCCCTCATTCTAGGGGAGAGAGCACTTAGGGGTCGGCAACACACTTGTCTCTTGAGTTGCATGTCTCTATGGGTAGCGCTAGCCATTTACCAACAGTTGATGTAACACGTGCTAAAATGTGGTATCAGGTGATTGCAGGTTTATGTTTTTAGCCTTGATCCTAGCAAATTTAGAGAAACCGATGAAGAAATCTCTATGAGAAGATTAAGCCTGGGATGCTTATGTGTCGGACGCCTCTGACTCACTCAGGATCTAAAGAGCTGTGGGTCACTGGTCGAATAGTTGAGTCAAGTTAGAATAAGATATTTCCTTTTTATTTTGGATTAAATCCTTTCACATCAAACAGACCTTTATATACCGCACCGACCGTTACCATAATTAGAAAGAAGTTATAAGGTCACTTGAAAATAACAGATACTTTTTGAGTCAGGAATTCCTCACTAAACACAAAAAAACTTTGACTGCAATAAAAAAAGTTGATGAGGTCTTTTTTTTTTGTTTTTGCCAAGATGAAATGTAAAATCTTCGTAGACGTCGGCAGTCGGTCCGTATTAATGAAACATCAACACAAGGTGGCATTTTATCACGTCTTCACTATGCGTATCATTTGTATGCTGATGACCTTAAAATTTATTCACAGACCGGCCTCGATAATTTAGTAGAAGCAATAGATAACATTAACAGTGATTTGGAGGCAGTAAAAAACTGGTCTGAGCGGTTCTTCGTAAGTGTTAACCCCTCCAAGTGTCAGTCAATAATCGTAGGTAGTCCCAGAATGTTAAGCAGATTAGAGAAAATCAAAACTGTCGGTAATCGTCTGCAATAGATCCTTTATATCGATCAGCCTATTGGTCAATGATCTTGGCTTGTGGGTTGCTTCCAGCCTTACCTGGCAACCACATATTGGGAACGTAATTCAGACAGTTACTGGAACCTTGCGATCACTATATTGGCTAAAGAACTTCCTACCACCTACTACCAAGTTAATGCTTGTATAGGCTCTAATCGTCCCAATGATCGATTATTGTGATATATGCTACCTCGACCTGAATCTAATCTGATCTAGTAGATCTGCATCTACTCAACAAACTTGACCGACTTCTCAACAACTGCATTCGGTTCATCTTTAACCTCCGCAATTACGTCCAAGTGTCCATTTATCGAATACAACTGTCATGGTTACCTATACGTCAGCGCTGTACTTTGCTGGCCTTTACTTACCTTTATTCTCTTCTTAATATTCCCACAGCTCCCACTAATCTCACTTGACAGCTTAAACTGCTATGTTCAGACCACGACTCGACCTAGGCACAATACACACTTCTTTTCGTGTTCGTTCCTCTTTTGCAGTCCAATCTATAACTATGGAATGCACTCCACTTCAGATCAGGATATCAACAAATCCTTAATCGTTTAAAGCCAATGATCAACTTAAAAGTAACCGCTAGCAGAAATATTCCGCGCATTATGTTGACGCATGACCGCGTCACTGCAGATACTATCATTGTATATATATACTATTATACTAGCTGACCCGGCAAACGTTGTATTGCAAAACAAAAAAAAAAAATTAGGGATGGGTCACCCTTACCATTTAGGGGTATGAAAAATAGATGTTGGCCGATTCTCAGACCTACCCGATGTGCACACAAAATTTCATGAGAGTCGGTCAAGCACGAACATTGTGACACGAGAATTTTATATATAAGATTATATATATAAATTTTGAATATATATATATGTATTCGACTATGTAGGTACTTTTAAATAACACAAATAAGTGTTATTTTTATATTTGTAAATGTTTAATTCATAGCTTCGTTTCATTGTACATACTATGCACCTGCCATGTCCCTTACTGAACCATCTAACTGGTGGACTGGTAGATAATGCTATGTGGCATTAAGTCTACCTTTTTTTTTTTCCGTGCGTAAATCCCCTCGGATACCACCTGTCGGTGGCATGTCGGACTCGAACCGACTAAAACCGCACGCCGTCTCGGGTACTAATAGCCGGGGAACCAGGTATACCCTAGAAAGGAAGTCCCTGGTGCAACATTAAGTCCACCTCGTGCAAAATGTTATGTAAGAAGGATAAACATAAATAAATAAGAAAATATGTAAATATCCTATGCAGTTTTTTGCGCAGACCTGTATTATTTCTTACTCTTTTTTTTCGCCGTCTCGGGTAGCGGAACTGGGAGAGTTCTAAACCCCTCCCGGTCCCGCTTTGCCCTCTCCTTCGCTATCACAACTTGTTCGCAAAAGGAGGTGCCACAGTTCCACGCGCTCTCGCTCCGTACCATGGCCGCAATCATGGTACCGACCCAGAGAATTTCCACTTGACATAACATGAACTGACACTAAACATGAAAAACTGTTTTGTGTGTTGTGTATAGGTAGCACAAAATGACCGTGTTATTCTCTCTATAATAAAAACTTTTACTCAAGAAAAAATCAGGCAGTGAAACTAATGCTTGCGAAGGAGATGGCGGAGCGAGACCGGGAGAGGTTCAGAACCCTCCCGGCTCGCCAGGCTTGAGACCGGGCCAGGTACCGCAGACAGGTCGCAGAGCGACTTCCGTCCTCCATAAGCGCAGGCCTGCTAGATCTGATTGTCATAGCTTCTGCTAGAGTGACAGATGCATATGGACAGAATGGCTGCAGAAGCCGGCCGGGGTTGGTAATGGTGCGACGCGCTACGGAGTGCGCGCGCCCTTCTGAGCAGGAATCCTTTCCTGCTCAGAAGGGCGCGCGCGCCGGGTTCCCACACAGGAGGGGTCATCTATAAGCCGTAAATGGCCTGAGGTACGTCGGGGTACTAGGGTTTTCCTCTCTAGGGAATACCTGGTTCCCGGCTACTGGTACCTGGAGACGGCGTGCGGTTTTTGGTCGGTTCGAGTCCGACATAATCACCCACTGGTGGGTGGTATCCGAGGGGAGTTCAGCACGGAAAAAAAAAGGCAGTGAAACTAAGTTTGATCATAGTAAGTAGATAAATATTTAAATCTTTACGAATCTAAATTCTTAAAATACCTCAACAGGACCTCGTCATTCAATTGATTAAACACAAGGCAGATGTCAACATAATGAATGGCGAAGGGAAGACGCCTTGTGACATGTCAAAAACTAGGGATGTTCAACGTTTATTGGAAGCGGCTGAAAGATCTGAGAGGCACGAGCGAGAGCGGCTACTTCTGACTGCCGCTAGGGAAGGCAGGATTGATGATATACAAGAACTGGTGAGATTTAATTTGATTTGATGTAATACAATGCAATGGACAATATTCTTTCACTTTACATCTAAGACTGAAGAGGAAACAGTGTAAGGGGCCTTAAAAGTTGCGTGACAGTGAGGTATCATATGTCAAATTTTGGTACATTCTTTGCAGAATTTTTACCAAACAATTGATTTTTATTAAAACAGGTGAAAGCTACGCTATACATTCCTATATGAAGTGTATAATCTCGAAGAGATTTTTAGGCAGGGATAAATCTCTGTACTATTTTGGTGAAATATACTAATTCTTTAATTATTTCCGTTTTGTCATTTTCCTTGGGAACCACCTATAAATTACGTCACGAATTTCAAAGATTTTTGATTCCATCCCCGTCCTTGCCACAGCTCTGGTCACATTAGTGACACTCATGTGACGTCACGAAACTTGCAGCCCCAGTCTCCCACTCCCACAATTAAATGTGTGACGTAATTTATGGATGGCCCTTGCTTAACGTAAGTGATGGGTATTTAATCATGCATTGCAATCATATAAAGCCGCAATACCCAAGATTCTTCAAAGTAACCGTTTGCTTATTTTCTGACAATCAAAAATCTGTAATTGCCATCAATTTTCATGCACGGATGGCGTAGTGGTTTAAGCGGTCGCCACGCCGCTTACTACTACGCTGAGTGCTGTGGGTTCGATCACCACATGGGACTACACTTTGTGTAATGCACAAATTGTTGTTCTGAGTCTGGTTCTTCTTTGTTTGTTCGTTGTCGAGTTGTTCTTTGTGTCCATTTCATGTATGTTTGTAAAGTCTCCCGCGACACAGGATATACTTATTCCTAATGTGGGAGTTGTCTTTTAAAAGAAAATGTTTATCTTGTTTTCCAGCTAAGCAGTCCAAACACTCCAAACATCAACTGCGTAGATGCACAAGGCAACACGTGTTTGCACTGTGCAGCTTACAGAGGGCACACTAGACTGGCTGTGTTACTACTTCAGAATGGTGTTGACACTACTCTGAGGAATAATTGCGGTGAGTGTACTTTTATTCAAGGTGTAATTTTACAAGTGACTAAATGTACTAAAAAGCACATTTAGTACATTTATTCTATTATGTAAGGTTATTCTATTGCCCTAACTGAATTATTAACGCAAAACCTAATCCGTTTGGGCTACAAACTTGAAATTTTGACAGCTTATGCTTTTTATGATGTAAGCACCCAATAAGAAAGGGGTTTTGGAAATTTCACCCCTAAGGGGGTAAAATAAGGAATAGACGGTTGTATAGAAGTTATCTTCAAAGTTAGAAACACGATATAAGAAATAACGCTAGAGAGAAGCCGCTGGCTATTGCTAGTTACTTTATATCTTTCTGCAACTCCAATGGCGATGTAGAGAAAAGATTATATATATAGATTTCTAATACGTTATCGACAATTAACAAGAAAATTAATTTAGGTTTAATAATTATTTAATGAACTTTTAATTGAATATAAATTCTTATACAAACCAGTAGTCGTAAGAATGCTAAAATTATTTATTATAGGATCAAAGATATCACCGATGTTCGATGATTATGAGTCGAAGTCCAATTATTATTGTGTAACGACTACTCGAAACATAAGTATAATGTTTTAATTATAATTTATACGCCACAATAACTTCTGAATACTTGCATAAATGTTGATATAAGTAGCTATCGTTAGAAACCTTCCAAGCTTTAATTAAGAAATAAAAAAGCAATATAACAGGAAAATATAAAAAAAACAATGGAACGAGGAGATTTCGAACTTAGCAGAGAATAATTACCTCAGACATTTTACGCACGGTCGTCTGATTTCAAACTAGGCAGAGCCTGTACTATGGTAACCAGATTGCTGTTAAACATATTCAAATATATCTTCTAAATACATGTATATTATAAAAAAATTACACCAAGACACAGAATAGAAGATCGTGCTCATCACACAATTATTTGTCTGGTTGGGAATCGAACGCACGCCCTCCGGCTTAGCAGTCAAAGTCACTAACCACGGAACCAGCAGGTCCGTTAACTAATTAATGATGTCTACTTTTAATGGTCAGGTCAGTTAGCTATCGACATGGCTAAAGACACGGAGATGCGCGAGGTCCTGAGCGTCCGTCCAGTACAAAGGTTACAAAGAACGGCTGCTAGGTTCGAAGGACCACTGCTTAAGAGGTCTCGCTTCTTAGGATGGAGAACTGTTTGGGTAAGTGTGTTGCACGACTTATCCTATTGAGTTTCTATATACTGTTTTAGTTTATTGTCACAATTCTGTAAGTTGTAGAAATTAATTTTAATTTACTCATAATTATTATCGTACTTAAATAAAACTGCGGGAGAACCATGCTGCGGTACGTCTAGGCCAGCTCAATCGGAGTGATACCATGACCTTGCAGAAAATCAGTAGTAAGCATTTCTTTCGTTGCACCGAGTGAGTGAGGTTAATGGAGCTGAACTTCCTCCACCCCTCCACATTTCAAGAATACTGGATGGCAATTGTGTCTCTTAAATTGTCTGCGCGTTTTCCGGTTTTACAAATTTTACCATAAAAATCAGATGACAATAATGTAATATACAATACAATAATATAGTGCTTTTGAGTGGGTTTGATGATAAAGTCAGGAGATGGTGAAGCAACTCCTTAGTGGTTACTAATAGGTCCCTCTAGCTTAGGCTCTATTGAAAACTTTTTAATTCGGTACATTTTCTACCCTATCGTCAATACAAGAGCTTTTTAATTTAGGACAATCCAATTTTTTATTTGATTCAATTCAACTCAACTCAAGCACTCTTTATTTCATTTTTTTTTAAATGTTTAAAATCGTCTTTTATGAAGACTCTAAAGTCATAGATCAACACACATAATAGCAATAATCTCTGGTTTGTTTTGACAAAGCAAATGAATTGAATAAAAATAATCTGTGATATGCCTGTGCCGACCTACAACTGCTCGTTTCTAAGGGGTTGAGCCTCATGAGAAGAAAGAGCAAGCAAACTCATGGCCACTCTTTAATTCACAGATAGATACAATGGCAATATTAAATATACCACAACATTGTTTTGACGTGTGCAGGTATATCCGTTATTAAGGTCTAAAAGGTAAAAAGACAATAAGGAAAAACAAGATTAAGAAAAAAAAATCGAATTAAACATAAAAAATAGAAAAAATAATAATAAAAACACACTAGCCCACACCACAATTCCTTTTTTAGGCGGTACTACAACGTGGAGTGCTTCTGTACTACGGGTCCCGAGCAGAGGCGGCTCGGGGCGGGACGCACTGGCGCGGCCGCAAGTACCTCGACGCGGCTTCGCTCAACGTCTCCGACACTGAACCCGCGCTCATCGTACTCCACTTTAGCGATGGCGATACTCACCGACTGGCTGTCCCTCAGGGGGATAGAGACATCGCCGTAGCTAGACAGGTACGCTTAGCAGATCGTAGGGCACACAAGATTTTAGGTCGAATGGATGCAAAGTACCTCCAAAATCTGTAAATCAAATAAATTACAATGCCAGTGGTCTATAGAAAAAAACCCAAAAGAAAACACAACTGCGGACTGAATTAGAATGGATTCGGTAATGCGATACAGAACATCGATACAACGCCATCTATTGACCACAACGCTGTAATCGCTACAAGCATAAAATTTTGCACAAATGTTCCTTAGGCGACGTAGATGTGCACTAACATTTTTTTTAATTCCCTCCCTAAGGGTACAAAATCGGTGTTGAAAATGTATACTATAGAAATATTTCACAGACTAGACTTTTTTGCAGTCTTGGGTAACAGCTCTTAACGAGCACATCGCTTACTCCGGTCACTATTTATGGGCGGGGGCATCCCCTGACACAGCTAGAGAGGCAACTGAGGACTTGGAGGACGAATGTAAACCCTTAGGTAAGAAAATTTACTGGCGACTGTAATCAAACCATAGAGTTTTGTGTGATACCCAATTTTCACAAGATAAGTTATATATTTATCTTTTCTAACATCATAATGTGAGAGAAATAAAATAAATAAATAAATCTTCATGGGTCACTATATTGTTCATTATTAAATTTGCATACACAAAAGTTACTGGAGCTAGACGTTTTTTATGTTAAAAATATTTGTTTCTGTACCTTGTAGGTTCAATGCAAGACTCCTTAACGGCAGCTACCAACAGTCTAGCGCTGCTGGACACTCAACTGAGGGAGTGCGCGGCCATCGTCGCCGCGCTGGACAAGAGTATCAACGTTGGCAACTCGCTACATCATTCCGCTTATATGGTACGGCTTACACTTGATTTATGCATCGTATGTATGTATTTGAATATCAAAATCCGGCTATACGGATGCAATATGGCGGCGAGAGGACTATACAAGTCTGTACTCTTTTTGTGACTAGTAAATTAATAAATATCTGTGTTTTTTTGTTTGCAGAGGTTCCAGCACGCCTGCGGCACAGGTTCCGAGGCTCTGTCTGCGCTGCGGCACTGCGCCGCACTCGTGGCGCAGGCCAGGGACGCAGACTCCGCGCGACTCACTAGAGAGGTGCGTATACATGTAGCTCGCTCGGCTCTGTCTGCACTCGTGGCGCAGGCCAGGGACGCAGACTCCGCGCGACTCACTAGAGAGGTGCGTATACATGTAGCTCGCTCGGCTCTGTCTGCACTCGTGGCGCAGGCCAGGGACGCAGACTCCGCGCGACTCACTAGAGAGGTGCGTATACATGTAGCTCGCTCGGCTCTGTCTGCACTCGTGGCGCAGGCCAGGGACGCAGACTCCGCGCGACTCACTAGAGAGGTGCGTATACATGTAGCTCGCTCGGCTCTGTCTGCACTCGTGGCGCAGGCCAGGGACGCAGACTCCGCGCGACTCACTAGAGAGGTGCGTATACATGTAGCTCGCTCGGCTCTGTCTGCACTCGTGGCGCAGGCCAGGGACGCAGACTCCTGGTCACTATGTTTTTTTTATCTATTAATGTTTAGCCTTTAAGTTTAGAAAGATGAAGTTAACTAATTTAAATTAATATCCTTGTACAGATAGAACGCAACAGGGTGTTAGAAGAGGCTTTGGCAGCGCTGGCAAGGACACATCACGCGCTAGAAATGTCCGTCGCCGAAGAACTCACTAAGGTACTTAAATTCCAAATAGCAAAGTTTTACGGTATTTAGAATAAAAATCATGAATATTTAAAGACAAAATTGTATTATTGATATTATATTTTTATTACAGAGTAAGAGAAAGAAAAAATCAGCTTCACATTCGACGCTAAATGAGTCTAAAGACAATTTCTTTGATGTATTTGAAAGTGAGTTTTTATGATATCTATTAACATGTTACGATTTTGATCCATTGTCGCAACAGGGATGAATCTATGTACAGATATTTAATATATAAACTAAACAAGTTATAAATGATTAAGTATTAGGATTTTATAATCCTATAGAAAGAATAAAAAGCCAGACAAACCCTATACCAACCCGTCTAGCCAGCGTGGTCTAGTGGGCAAAAACCTCCTTTTAAGGAAAGGCATATGTTCAGCAGTGGACTATTAGAGGCTGTTATAATCCCATAAATAACCACATGGAGATCTAGCGAAAGTGTTATCTAAATTTTAGAATTATAGTGTAGTCTTGGCTATTATCGAAATTAAGCGTTTCTTTTCTGTAAAACATAAGATTTACCGAATAAATGGTGGCTTTTGTAACCTGTAAGAGTTTAATTCTTAGCTTTGACCGGCAAATCTTGATCTTCAACATACCTTTTAATAGATTTTTTTTATTTTAATTCCTCTTTTTCACAGATTCAGACGATGAAGACGATACTTTAGTGACGGCAGGGCTATCAAGCCCGCTTGGAGCTTTGAGCCCGTGGGGCAGCAGCCCTGACCTAACACGATATACGCCTATAGGTAGTGTCGATGGTAAGCCTTAAATTTATTGAAATCAATAGCGATTCGTCAATTATAGTGTGTTATTACCTATGTATTATGTAGTAATTTAAATAAAAGTAATGTTTAAAAAAAGATATTTTAATAAAAAGTGTGACTGAATTGAATTTTAACTTTAGTACATTTTTAACTTATGTAAAGTAAACAGAGTCTTACCCCCGAACGCCCACCTCCTATACTTCAGGGGTCAGTCACCACCAAGAAACCCGTCCACTCATCTGTCTAATATCACGTTATTAAATAATGCCGTCATATAACTTTAGGTCTTTACAGCAGCCGAAGAGTTCCTATACCTCCTTTCTAAGAAGAGGTCATGTCCAGCAGTGGACTATAGACTTAGACAGGTCGTATAGGTGAACTATAAGTGTATAATACGATAGGTGTATGAGTAAGAGGGAAATGTTACCGTAGGTGACAAGACCCCAACGAACGAGGAGGAGGAGTGGTCCCCCGGGTCGGGCGGGTCGCTGCGCACGGCGCTGAGCGGCGCCAGCTCGCGCGGCACGCTCGTGTCGCAGGGCGGCCACGTGTACAGGAACGCGCGGCCCTACCGCAAGAACACGCACCCCAGGTACGTCGCGCACACCAAACTATAGCTCATTCGCGTTAACAAAATAGTGACGCATCCGTTAAACCGCCGAGTTTATTTTACTTTAACTCGTTCGTCACGTGACAGCGTTCGGCGCTACGATTGGCCCGCGGCTGAAATCTGCACCAATCGCAACGCTAAACGCGCTCGCCGTCGAGAGCGAGTCAATGTGAAATCAACCTGCACTCGGCCCTCTCGTTCCAAACTTTCGTAACGATAATTTCTTGGTACGCGATTTGTCAAGGGGCGGGGCCCGATCGATGCGTTACTATTTTCTTGATGCGAATGGGGTATAACATTCATATACTTATACTGATTATTAAAATAAAATGAAAAAGGAATGGTTTACGAAATTATGCTTTTTATGTAAAATTATGTGAAGGAATTCCCTATTCATTAAAAAATGCTGACTGTTTATAAAAGTTGAATTAATAAACTACCTACTGAAATATTTAAGAAGTTTACATTTTTGAGCGTTAGTCCTAAAATAAACTTTTTAATAATTGACGAAACCGCTTCCGAGTACATCCATAAGTGGTGTTTATCGGTGACGCCTAATTCGGACTACTAGCAATTGATGTAGGGTAGTTGTAAATATGTACATAGATTAATCGGCGCGAGGAGATTCATTGCACCACGCAGGATTAGTAGTTACTCTGTGGTTCGGCGCGCGGTCGTTAAATGGCATCGACATATGTTTTTCATTGTACATAGACAAGCGCAATAACTGTTATCCAAAATAAATATTCGTTCATATCAATTGAATTAATGGTTTAATAAGTACCTAATACAGTGACAATCACCTAAATACGTGATATTATTCAAGAATACGTGTACGCACGTACGCTAGCAGTCAATGGCAGCGCTATTGCTATCGAGAATAATTGTTTTGTCATAATCTTTTAATTAAAAGTTTTGTTTTACTAATTATTTTTATGATTTTACCTATGTTCTTGTATGTTCTATTATTTTATTTTCTATTTGTTTGTTCCAGTTCTCAGTGGTCACTTTAGAATACTGTATCTGGTCAGTATGGAAACTTAATTAATGCATATCTTAGTGGATATTGAAATAACACTGATGTACAAGCGCACAAATCGACATAATGCACAAAAATGCAACAAATACCATAATATTAGGTAACATCTCTGCGCCTAAAATGGTTTTTATACTGTTCAGAAGGCAATGAGTTTGGGACTACAAAAGGATGTACTTATGTAGTTCTGTTATGCTTACCATCCGTCTATAAACGTATCTTATAAGTTGACGTTCTCCAGAAGATAGCTTTTAAAGGCGAACGTCAAATGATGTTCGTGCATTTATTACTAGACAATCGTTCGAAGACTCGAACCAACTCAGACTATCTCCCTCGCACATGAGCGGTATTCTGTGTAACAGAAGGAATATATACATAAAAAGGAATGGTTGTTAGATGATCAGATATACTAAATTTAATGTTCCATGTTTATAATTATGTATATGTACTGGAATTACGTGGTTTTACGGGATGTACATACAGGCTGCCTTAGTCTGTCACCACGTGCAACGTGCAGTGCAAATTCGTACGGATAATAAAACGTCAGGATGTTTTTTATGAAAGAGGGGGGTAAACGAGTAGGTCGGTCCCCTGATGGAAAGCGACTACCGCTGCCCATGAACGCCTGCAACTCAGAAGTTGCAAGCGCGTTGCCGCGTGGCCTTTGAGTAAGGAGTACGCTCTCTCTACGCTCCGTAAATACTGCAGACGATAACTAGTTCCACAGGTTGGTTGTGCAAGGCATTAGTGTCTTGAAAGCACACAGGGCTGGAGTACCAATTATCCAAGTGGGGATGAAAGGAATTTCAAAGATATGTAAAACCTATTTCGTTATCGCTTTAATTCCCGTATATATACATAATTATAGATTTGAGCGATATACTTTAATTTATGAGAACTTTTTACCAGAAAATTCTTCCTTTTAGAGGTATCTATGTCATAATTTATTGCTTATGTACTTTTTATAGTTGAAGTATTTTGAAACTGTTTCAATTAGCATTTATGGGTGTAAAAAAAGGCTTTTATCATGGAAAAAAATACATGTCCCGGTTGTGAAAATTGTGAAGCTTTTGAAATTTGATTGAGTAGGTTGTGACGATAATGGCAAAAAAAAGGCCCTTCCCGAAAAATTGAAATTTGGACCCTTATTGGACACGAAACTAGTCTGGTATATATTAATATATCCTGTTAGTAAAATTATATAATAATAAATACGAATGAAATATTCTTTTTACTATACAGTGAAACTTAGTATGATATTTATAACAGCCATCATTTTTCGTAGAATGTGTTGCCACACTCCAAAAAAATAATGTATTTTTAAGGCATTAACATTTATTAATAAATAGTAAAAACATTACTTAATTTTTTTGTTGGTATTTATGAAAAAATTGCAATAATTTTTGCTCTTACAAAAGTGACATCATTCTTAATTTATATTTAAACGCTATTCGTGTCGCCGAGCATTGGGCATAAACCGTTTAAAGTGTTGCCATCGACAAGATAAGCATAGACATAGACTAGAAATAATAATATTTTTTTCTAGTCTATGTCTACGCTATGGCTCTCCTTTTATTATTGATTTATAACCTGTAAATGCTTGACAGCCCAAAGCGGTAACTCAGACTAACCAACACAATGCGCTAACACATTTAAAATGCAAATAAAATATAAACTTCAGACGGGATAAACGGTCCGAGTTTATCTTTATCGTAATAAGAACTAATAATTACAATCAACTGACAATTATATATTTATCTGTCAAAACTTTAAACGTTTCACGTTTGTGAAATAGAACGAAAATAATACGTCTATCTCTTTCTAACTCATTAAATCAAAAACGCAGTTATGCTATTAATTAGTGTTTCTCTAATATTTTAGTTGTTACTGTTTACATAAACAGTGAAAAAGGTAGAACAAATTAAATTATAAATATAAAAATATTGGGAAGGTTGGTTGGTTTTTAAGTTTTTTTAAGACATGCATCTAAGTTTTAATATTATGCGTTTGTTACTAAATTATTTGGTGAGAACTTAATTAGTTTTGTAATGAACGAAATGTCTTTGCTACACCTTGATAGTAAAGGCTGAGAATGTTCAGAAACTGGCTGGTTTTTCAATGGGATAATTCAACGAGCTATAATTGAAGTCCCGAACGGATTTTCTACGAGTCACAGCTAAGAAAATGAAGGACGAAAAATCACGATTTTTTTAGATAAAAGCGTGTTTTCTCGTAAAAATTCTAAATAATTTTATTTCAGCAACTCTCATTTTCTTCCTTTTTTCTCACACTACAACCTCCTTTTTTGTTTTGTTCTATTAAAATGTTTTTTCTTTGTTTTTTTCAATGAACGGGTTTTTCACTGCTGTTCGTTTTTATTTCAATAACTTGCCACGAACCGATTTTTCAAAGTATTAAAAAAAATACTTTTAACCGAATTATCCCGTTGAAAAACAGCAAGTTATTTTTTTTAATATGAAAGTACTTTCCGCCGCACATCCTGTACTATGTGAACAGAAGAAACCTTTGTTGATTTTTTTCAAAGTTCTAATGCAATTTTGAAAGTAATTTTCACTAAAAATATAAATAAATAAATAATTTACGTTTTTCGATAAATTTTATTTATGAACGCAAGTGTTATTAATAAATATATTTTTTAAATTAATGTTGTAAATCTCAAGTAGATATAATATTTACGTTTGTGTTATTGAAAAGGTACCTGAGTTTAAAGTGGAATTATTGTGATAAATAAATATTATAGTTATTATTTTAATTAATAAGTTGAATGTTATGTGACGTAAACCATTAGTAAATAAATGTATGTTATTTTTTATTTTGTTTGTTTCTATTTTTAATAAAAGGAGCTGCTTAGTCGTGGCTTAATGTCATTTCGTTACTCTTAATATTCAACGTACAGACGAGTAATTAATATATGGACTGATACAATTAAATGTCAAAGTAATGAATAGATGTCAATTTGACGTGGTACGTCGCTATATCAATTTGAAACGTCGAAATGAGGAAGGACCCGTGCTTCACCTAGGTTTTCCACCTGGGTGAAGCACGGGGACTATATAGGGACCCGTGCTCCTACGGATTACGACGTTATTGTACAGGGAAGCAGTAAATTGTTTTCCCTATATGATTTAAAAAAAATCTAAACCACTATTTAATTGGAGTGAATTTATATTATTTATTTATATAATGTTTATTAAATTTTGTAAGCTATTTTTTAACGAGATGCACAGTGTAAATAACGTAACGACGAGTAGGAAGTCCAAACACAACGAGTTCAAAAAAGGATACATGTTACCCTAAATAAAATATAAATAAATAACATAAGTGAAACGGGTTTGGACGTGCGAGTAATGTTTTAAATTAAGGAAGTCCGAAGATACAGAGACTGGTGCATAAAATATAGTAAAGTATTGAAACTCCAACGTTGCCTGTAATGTGATTATATCCCATTTGGCGGCTATCGTAACTGTGATTCAGAACCAGTTGTTTACTAGGATTTTTTAGTCTTTCATTGCAACCGGTTGTGATAGGACATGAATTCTCGGTACACAACTAGTTGCCAATAAAAAAAAAAGTCGCCGTCATCGCAACTAAGTATGTTTCGCAACAAGTTGTCTACGAAGATTTTGCTGCTAGTTTTCTAGTCTTAGTAATACTTATTATTATATTTTACTACGAAAATACCTTTAAGGACATTTGTGAGATTAAGACTACATCGGAACTGATTTTTTAACGAACTTTATTACGAGAATTGACCCTCAGTTGGCAATCAGTCCACTTTGCTATTATTAGTCTAATTCGCAATTGGTCCAGTTTGCAATTAGGGGACGTCCTTGATTAAAAGAGGCGTTTTTGACGACCTCGGCGTGGTGAGATTTGGTTCGAAGTAAAAATGCATGTAGCTAGTGGAGTTGCAGCGGGCACTTACCAAATGAATATTGGCGTTCTGCGAACTGGAACTGAAATACTTATCAGAAATAAACATCATTTATCATTTGTACATTTTGCGAACTGGACATTCTACGAACTGAAGATTCTGCGAGTTAGGCGTTGTGCGAAGTGGACACTGCGACCACTGGACATTTTCTGAATTGGACATTTTGCGCCAACCACTTCCTTTGATAAAATTCAATATTGATATATATCATTGAGTTATATTATTATTTTGTTCATTTAAAATCCTATTAATAATATCTTACATCGATATATTTATGCCTAAATTAAATTAAGTAGATCTAATTATTACACTCCTGCTTCTGTAACACTCAGAAACTTCCGTACGCTGTTGTTTGTTTATTAGAATTGGTCAAATCTTCTATTGTGATAACGCATCAACATTTTTTTACCGCTTAAAATAATAATTATTTGAAAAATCACGTATATTTAAGTCGACTTCGCCGTTCAAGAATATAAGTACAGGCATTAACTAAGAAAAACTGGAGAACAATCCGTATCCGCGTACATTTTTAGTTACCCAACACATCAATATTTAATACATTTAACTATACATACTTATGATGTTGTTTCTATAGCAAAATCTATGACATACATAAGAAATAATAATATTCTACCACATTCACACAACGCCATCTAGTCACAAACTAAGCAGAGCTTGTACTATGGGTACTAGACAACTGATATAAATACCTACTTATATACATTTTTTTTTGTAAATACATACATATTATCATTGAAACACCCAGACCAAGTCAAACATTACATGTACATGCACACACATGTTTGACTTGAGCGGGAATTGGAATACCAGTCCGTTACACAAATCACTAGGCCATCCGGTCCGGTCATATACCTACTTGAGTTTATCATGTTAGGTAAACACAATAAAGTCAAATATCTTGTTAATCTGAATGTAATTTTATATTCATTGGTGATTTGAAATAACGAAAGGCGCACTTCCAGTTTGTTGACTGTAACATATTTCAACTATTAATAATTTAG